AGTTAGATTGTATCCACATTATATTTTATAAATGGAAAAATAGTTTCACTGACATTCATTCACAATCTTAACTTTAATTTAAGTATATGCCTTGATTACCACCCATTTGTTGACAACTTGCTTTATACATTCTCTTTATTATTATTTACAACTTCACCTTGTTTTTCTTTCTTATGATTTCATTTTCAATATATAAAACATCATTTTTATAGTTATGTTAACTATGTTGTCCCCTCTTGTTTCCTGTTTCATTTCAAACCAAACTTAATTGAAGACAGTATGTAATAAAAGGATTTTTTATGATGATATTACCAGTGTAAATTTAGGCTGTTTGTAGCTGATGAGAAGCTTTGGAGTATAATGACTTCATATTATTCTACAAATCGTGTTTTTGCTTTATTTTTCTATTTTCACCAAAAATCAGTTATGTTGACCTTGAGGTTTTTCCTCCATATGAGTGTTATAGATCTGAAGTTTTAAGTAGATGGAAATACGTCAACTGTGTTCCTTCGATAGTAAGTGCATGGTTTCCAACATTCTTTCTCAAACCTAATCGTTATTTTTAACCTGTTTGTTGCATTTTTACAGTTCTGTACATTTTAAGTATGGAGGCCGATCAATATAATGGGAAGACTGTACTTGTTATTAACCATACACATATGGTTAGCTGTTTCGCCGGAGATGAATTAAACTTGGATGCAGGAGTTAAATTTGTAAACACAAAAGTGATATTTCAGAAGTCAATTTGGAGCAACCTTGTTGAAGCCGTTATACAGTACTGTCGTGTTGTATTTGATATATTTTCTACCGAAAAACCTGTAAGTTTCTCTAGATAACGCAATAATTTATCAAGATATCTATAGTAACCTTTGATGATGAGGAAAAGATTCACTCTATATGGCTAAATGAGGATCAAAATTTGGATACAGTAAGTACATTTAACCTTAATTCACAATATAATAAGATATGGAACATATTTTCTCAGGAAGGTCCACCGAAGATCTCTTCACTCAATTTCTTGAACGTGGTTCACTTCCAGGTTTATCTTCAGCCTCTCATCTCTTACAAATGCTAACGCCACGTCAGAAGGAAATTAATTCTGGCGAGAACAAAGGCAGAGTAGTTGTCTTAAGCATGTCTATGGGGTAATAACTTTATTAGTTAAATTTACGATTTCATCATAGTAATAAAGTTTTGTCTTGGATTCCGGATATTTTATCGTCTTTAGAGAAGCCTATCGACACACCCGAGTAAGTTTCTATACTGTTTGTTTTGTGTGATTACCGTTCTACTCCGTACAGTTGTGGATAGAATCAGACAGCTTAAAAGCGTGCACAAAGTACATAAGTTTAATTGGCTATCATGCAACGGCACATGTACGAAAAACAAAGAGACGTGTTATAACGCTAGGAAGTAGATACGTTGAGAATATAAAATGAAAACAATTCGTTGCTTACTTTATTTTATTTCAAATAACATGTCGAGGAAGTGTATGTAACACTTAACAGCTATCTAAATCTTCAGTTACCAACTTCCAATTTTCTTCTGAGAATTTGTGAATGATGTCAGCATTATTCATTAATTGGTCTCACCATGCATGAGTAATGTTTTGAAGACATATAAAATCACGTCCTTAAATTCACGCATTTTTTCTACCGTCAGCAGTTTTATTTCATTGTTGGATTATAAGACACCGTTAATTACTAAAATTACCGTCGTCCATTAATTAGCAGCCAGTTATTTTACAATTACCATTAGTAGCATAGGTTCTTAGCTGTCAAATCGGTATCATTTCTCTCTGTCGAGATTTTGTCGGCATCTTGTTCACTAAAAATGCCGCAATTTCACTGTATGATTTCGAACTTTGTGCAAATCAGTCATGAACAATTTCCATGCATTTGAAAAGTCTTAAATCCATGTAAAATATTCAGCTTCATAGTTTCGGTGCTTCACCTGACAGAACTGTATTCTTCTTGAATTGAGTTAGTCCAGAAAATCCGAGGCACTTAAGCAGTTTAAAAAAGCCTATCGTTAAGTGGAGTCACATGTGTCAGTCAAACATGACTGAGGATATAAGAGACACTTATCATGTTACAGTCGTTTTAATATCAGATGACAATTATCTAATAGCAATTCGTTGACTTAGTAGGTTTATACTAACTACATTTGTATTAGACTAATACTCAGACACTCTATGACATTAACTGCCACTTCCAATCCAAGTAGCTTGGTCAGCGTAGATTTACAGTAATATGTATGTACTGCACAAGTGAATGAATGTTGGGAATTTTATTATAGAACTTCCATTCAGGCCCGTGTCTTTGCTTTCTATTTTGAGTCTCTAGACACAGATACAAATGAATTGAATTAGTCACTTCGTTTCTTTTAAATGACAATAACTCACGGTATTAGAATATTCATAAAATAGCAGTTTTGTACTTTAATATTTATGACCGAATTATTGGTTACAGTCAAACTGTAAGAACCAGGAAAAATATACGTTAGTCGAGGCTACCATACCATCAGCTCAGAGAGGTGACATTAACAAGATAAATAGCAATAGAGCAACAGTATCAGTCATAGCGATCAAAGATCAAAGGATATGGATTGAAAAGAATGAGTGAATTAGTGGAATAAAATTGTGGAATAGTGTTAAAACTACAATCTGGAGGAATGTAAAGAATGAATGCATTTATTCCATTGTAACAGATTTTTAGCCATGTCACCTTTTTTCTCTATACACTGGTCAGGATAATTAAGGAGGTCAATTAGGTAGTTTGCAGTTGACTTGATGAACTAATATCACGTCTTGTTTTAGTCGAACCTAGTTTTATTCCATCTTCGATTGTACCATTCGGGATTAAACTTTGGTACTAGTAATATACCAGGTATGGATGTATGTACTTACTTGTAAGCTACACTGTCTAAAGGTTAGTGATGTTATCCAGATGGAAGTAGGTATATCGAAATTCGGACTAAGAGTATCGATTGGTCTAACCAATAAACCGCTATTCCACATCAAATTATCAAGTAGCTAGAAATTTTACTTTCTTATGGTTTTCGTTTCCTAGGATAAGATTACATTCGAACGATTTCCTACTTTTTATTGATTCTGCCGACAAAATATTTCTTTAACCTAGATCACTTTATTCTTGTTGATTTTTTCTAGTCATATGGATGTTACTTCAAGTGAATGGGTTTTTGTTGACCTGCTTCCAGCTTCTGAATTCTCAGCAGATCTAAATGGACTATACCCTGAGCAATTAGAGGTTTGTTTATCATTGTTTCGATAGAACAATGAGAAGACGGAGTTGATCTGAAAAATGTGATGTATTAGCGCTATACATTTCGAACAATCTGGTCACACATATATTTGTCAGGGCATTTTTATATGAAAATTAATAAAGGCCATAGAATGACTTAAGGATTACCTTGAATTTACCTTGGATAACGCGACAATTTCTTATTCTTTCTCTCCCCTTAGTTATTTTAATTGTACTTTTATTTGTTCGACCTTTATTATTTTCATATAAAAATGCCCTGACAAGTATATGTGTGACCAGATTGTTCGAAATGTAGAGCGCTACTACATCACATTTTTCAGATCAACTCCGTCTTCTCATTGTTCTATCATTGTTTCATAAGAAATTTTATAGCAAAAGATGCAAGTTAGGAGGGAATGAAAAGTTTAGGTGGCAATGGGGATAAATTTTGATGAGATTCCGTGACCTATAAAGTTAGCCGTCTAATGTAAAACAGTAACTCATCAGTGTATTTAAATATAAGTCATCCTTAATCAAGAATGAATTAAAATTTGTTATGGTAACCATCTGTTTTCTATTCAATGGTTTACGGGCACTATACTTGCCACAAGACCATAAGTTCTTAAATTTGATACCGTACGGGTTCATGAGTGCTACTGTATGGTACTCAGTACTTTTTAATAGTACTCCAACTGACGTCAATCAATAATAAACATCTTCAAAATGCGCAGAAATTTTCGTAAATCATTTATTGTGGTAGTGGAGTAATAGTTTTTAATGTTTACTTATCATTTTTTAATAAATATTTTCCTGACAATGACCAATAATGTAGTTCATATATTGTCAAAGCATCCGTTTTTTAACGGACACTAATCTATTCAGTACTAGATACCAAATACGGGGAAGTACAAACTCTAAACAGGAAGTGAGACTTTTAATAAACATATACGCTTTATCAACTGAATCAGTCAGTATAAAATTAAGTGGGAAAACTGAATTAATCGAATCTACTACTCTGAATAAGCAAACAATTCCATATGTTACTCTTAAACAGATAGTTACATTTGAGAAGATCGTCTAAAGTCTAGTATCAGCATATCGTTAAATGAATTTTGAATATACTTCAAAATTCATGGTCGTAGTTATTTAAAAGAATACCAAACTTAGTCTGTTCCGAAGTCTATTATTATCTATAATTAATACTTTCATCCATGTTAAAAAATCGAAAAAAGTAAGCTGTCACGGTTTCTCTATTAGATAAAACTGTTGTTATTGTTTTCTTGGTTATTTTTGGTTTGCTAATATAAAGTTATTTGTATAGTTAATTACATAGTATTTAATAAAAAAATAATTCGTAGACACGATGTTAAAAAAACATAGATTCCAGCATATATTTGACATAGAAATAGTGATTTTGAAGAAAATATTTGGTTAAATGCACTTATTCAGGTAAATTTTTCATCAGCTTCTAGTTTCTGTCCTATGTCTGCTTATACAACAAACAATAGCGCTACCATTAGTCACCAGTGACTTCAATCTTAAGCGGGATTGTAAAGTATCTCAAGTTACACTGATTTTTATGATTGCTTGATCTTTAGCTAGTTCGTTATAAGAGGTACTTGTAACAACCATCCTTCGTTTCGCGTATCACATATCAAGGTATTAAGCTTTGTTTAATTTTTTAGAGCTTATCTTAATATATTTATACTTTGGTTATTGGTAGTAGTGTATAACCGGCTGAATAATTTCTTCAATTTTTCTGAAACCGATTTGAATTCCTGGTGAAAATTACTTGTGCGATATAAATGTACCTAACTGTGTTTACTAGTAATATCTAGTTAGAAGTTGTAATATACGAGGTGAAGTATAAACTGACTGGTGACTTTTGATAATACGGATGGCGTTATAGCAAAACTTGACTGACTTTGAAAATATGAAGTGTATAGTTCCAGCCTATTGGTTTAAAGACATCATACTCGCAGCCAACACCGAATATCCTTTGTCCAATCCTATGTAGAGTTGTGAGCGTGTACGTTTGACGAGTTACAGACTAAATTAAAATTATTTTTCGCTGTTTTCAGGGGTTCTCCAGTCGACAACTCTCAACTTATATAACATTTATGATAACTAGTGATATGTGGTGTGTAGTAGTGTGGTTTGAATCCGATGCTTTGTGTTGTGCTGCATCAAAGTGACTTGTGTTATTCTTTTTAGATTTATATCACTTGTATCTGATTACGATGCAAAATACAGATTTACTCTACATTGAATTGCGGCGGTTTGGTGATTTTTATGTTAGGTGAGATTGCTAAATTTGGTTTCCGTAGTTTGAGTGAAGTAATTTTGGTTATTTTTAATATTTATTTTGTTCACTTCATTTTTAGCTACCTAATAATATAGATCCAAATGCCCGACATCGTTTTTTCTATCATAAACTTCTAGCTACCAGCCAAGAGTTGTATCAGGGTTTAATGCGTCTTGCAGAATGTCATTACAATCTTTCAAGTACACTTGTTCAAGATATTCCCATGAAGGAGGAAGCTAATGTTAATTCTGGTAGTTCAATGTATGGCGTCGAAATTCTGCATCGAGCTGAGGTACACGACATGTTAAAACGTCGGGGTATTTACGAGAAATTATTAGTACGTACAGATAGTGAAAACAGTAAGTCCATATCACGACCACACTCTGGATTTTCGAAAACTTTGGGCATAAAATGGGTTACGCCGAAGACCTCGGATACTAGTGAGTGAAGTAGTTTTATTCCACAACGTTATAAGCTATGTATAGTGATATTTTTGTCTTTATGTTTCTTATTCAGTAAAATAAATCATGTAGAACATTACTGATTTCTTATATTACATAAGCTGTTACATAAGTTATGTCACAGTCTTATCCAGACTTTAGAACGAGACAATTCTTTTGTTTTGTCGCAAGTCTTTCAAATTTAAGATAACTTATATGACAGGCTATACAACTACATATACTAGGGTTCAGTCACAGACTTACCTCAAATAATATAGTATAGACTAAATGGGTGATGTATATATGGAAAGAGTATGCATTGATAAAGATAAACAATGTACGTTTTTGACGATGTTGTCTATACGTACAATGAATGCTTCATGGTTAAACCACCTAACTCAGAGCAAACAAGTCCAAAATCCTCTCTTTGAGCTACAAACGTTTTTCACCACTTAACGCTTTTTCATAACTTAATATCATTAACTAGCTTTGCTAGGCAACAATTCTAACTATTCTACTTGTATTTCATGAACTATATGCTCACCTAATTACATTTTCTCTAAGTTCGCTTTGCCAATTATTCTACCATTTTTTAATGGGTTTCATGACATCATAAAATTTTATTCAAAAGTAATAAGGCATGGTATTTCACCATTATTTTATTTTCTATTACTATGTCCATAAATATTATTAATGTTTTCTTATCATACTTATGGACCAGATTCCGCGTCAAATATGGTTGACTGACTTTCTTATCGAGAAATGTATGCAGCAACAGACGACACAGCTATTTCGAGAGACAATTTTATTCTAGCTTCAATCTCTGGTTCATCTACTTACATTTAGCTATTTAAATGTTAGTATTTTTAACTTATGCACATCAAAAGTATCTTTCGAAACTGAGTTTCTGGGTTTGTACTTGGTTACTACGTTACATTTGTTTAACATCAGTTAATTAACTTTTCATAGATTAAGCCGAAATCAAGTTAAATTTCTGGTTTCATACTGTATATCTTCTTTTATGTTAGTTCTGTAAACCAAATAAATTTGCTTGTTTTTGTCTATCTCATAATTGCATAACATAACTATCTTCCTGTCAGAAATGAATTAAGGTTAAAGCTTCATGTGTGCTCTAACTTTTATATTGTTATCATAAAAACTTCGAGTCGAATTGTAATTGTTATATAATTTCAAAAAGAATAGGTTCCTGAGTTGTGTTGGTGTCTATATGATTGAGCCATCGTTACGAAAGCGGTTGTGTTGTTTAGTTCCATTGCTGACTCATTAGCTTACATTGCATGTAGAATGACGACTAATTTTGCCAATAACATCGACTAATCAGCAACGATCGAGACCTTAATGTCTGTTGATCGTCGTGCTCCATCCAATCCAGTGTCCAACCAGAAGGGAAATATGACAGACATATGTCCACTCTTTTGTACTCTGTTCGTTCTTTAGTCAAAAATCAAACAGTAATATTCCTTAAACACCTGACCACACAGCACACAAATAACAAATTGCAATATATACACCATTCAATCATAATTGATACAAGAACGGAGCTATAGGGAAATAATTAATTAGCAATAATTCTCGAACGATAAGACATATAATAACAGTTTATATTTCTAACAAAAGCTTTCATATAGAAGAGTATGAAACTTTAAGAATTCAAGGGTATATAACTGTACAATCAAAGCATAAGTAATGACTTTTTGTAGGATAGTTGTGAAACTTTAGTCTTTTTTAGATCTTTTTTCAATATAATTGTACTGAATTACTAGTACAAAATTAATTAGTCCGATAAGTAGGAAGTAATAAATTGATAGTAGTGATCAATGCCTGTATTTTTAATCTAAGTCAAGTTCAGTTTTTGCTTTTATCTCTCTGTAGGTCTTACCACTTAATAATGACATAGTTTTTAGAATAATTATGGTTATTTTTGTAACGAGTATATCCTAGTCAATAGTAAAGTTTATTTAGTGATTCATGGAACTGATTATAGTACAAACAAAATATACAGTGGATACTTTTATTTGAGTGTTGTTACCAAACCTATCAGTCTTTACTGTTAATTTCATTCCATCTATTTCGGTGTTTTAGATATGTACTTTCAGTAATTATCATTCGAAAAGTTGTGTGTCAAAGTAAATCGCATAAAAACTACTGAAATTCAATTATATGAATGAAGAATATTCTTTTCAATGAATTTCTCATCAGGTTCTACAATTATAAATCCAATTAATAATCCATAAAATTGGACAGATTTAAGGCAGAGTAAATCATTTAAAATTGTAATATGTGAATCAAGGATTGTTGTTTGTCGTACAAAATGAAATCAAATCGTTAATGTTGGACTGACTAGTATGAAGTGTTAACTTTAATCAGTTTATAAGCGAAATGAAATTGTGTGATAAATAGTCAGAATATTAAATTTTTTATGTCTCTTTAGTCACTTTTGTTGTTGTTATTATTATTATTGCTAATTCAGCTGTTGTTTATCGTCACGGAAATCGCATCATGGATTATCTATTGTAATTTAATATGTATCTTCATGCATTTTTCCACAGATTTTCTGCGCTTTGCTGTCGCAACATACAGAGTAACTTTAGCAGATGTTTGCCATAGAGCATCTACCTGCTTAGCTCAATTTGTTTTAGGAGGTAATTTATGGATTTCTAACTATGTATATGTATATAGTTGATTGGAATGTGGAGATTAATTCATTATCGAAAAGACTTTTGTAAAGTAAATAAATAAATAAAATGTATCTCATTTGCCGATTGAGGGTATTATGTAACTGTCTTTGGGCCACATTGTATAATAGCCATTTGTACTGTGATGTGCGCTACTTATGCGGACAGACATAAGTAGTAGTAGACTGCTTGCCAGCAAAAGAGTGAAATGAAGAGAAGCAGGAAAACGGGTAGCAACCGGAATAACAACAGGATCGGAAGAATGATGGAGTATGTGAAAGATAACTGAAGGAAGATATGCAAATGATTTATTTAATGTATGATTTTCATATTCTACATAGCTACTGTTTGAGTTTGCATAAAATAACGAATTAGTTTACCGTACATGGGTTTCCATTCACTACAGTACTACTTGGCTGCCTAAACCGATGTAGTTGGGATGGAGTTCGGACCTGCAACCTACTGATTCAAGTTGTTCTGCAGTGAAAACCATGTTTGGTCATGACAAATAATAAGCTAAGAGATATCACAAAATGTCACGTGATTGCATCTAAGGTATTACTCAGTCCCACCATCTGCTGTTTGGTTCTCTCTGATGTTGTGGAACAGATCTCTGAGCTGTTACATGGAAAGACTCGTGGTATTCTGATGGTACACATGAAGGAGATCAAACAATAAAGAAGGGAAGAATTGTAGTTAGAAGTGAGATAATGAGTTAAAATATCAAACGAAAGTGGATACGTCTAAGTTTATTGGTTTCAAGAGTATGAAAGTGTCACTCGCATCGAGTTCTAAAAATATTGATTCTAACATACACTACTTAGTATTAATAAGTAGCACAAGATGGTCCACAAAAAAGCAAAATGGGAAAATAAGTGTTGATCACTTTTTAAAATTCACCAAAAGACTCGCTTTCAAAACCCCACTTCAGATTATTTGTTTGCATTTACAATATAAATTTCCGATACAGGTTGTTCACGATGTATACAGCTTATGGTTAATTGTCTAACATCTTAACTTTTTAATTATTCACCTTACAAGCTGTGAGTTTTTGGTAGTTTCGTTCTTTAAGCTGGATGGTTAGTTAGAATATTCAAGCATTTCTTGATATGACAAAATTCAACTCTGAAACAAATGGAAAACGTTATTGGTTAAACAGCATATCACTCACGTATATCTATTTGAGTTCGGTGAATATTGAATTTAGTTAGAATCCGACGAGGAGAATCAGTTCTTTAAAATTATAGATATATCTTGGTACCGATAACCTCTTATCACCTGACATACATCTGTGATTTCTACCTACAATTATATCCTACAATCCTTTTGGTTTTCTGTCGCATAAACAGACGCAAAGTATTAAACATACCACTCGTGTCTAAGTGTCACTTGTTTATGAGCAAAACGCTATTGAAACATCCTGCTGACGGTTACTTCCTATTTTCAGCTCACTAAATGCTGAATACACAATTTTAAAAGTATTTTGTACCGCCAAATCTTTATAGCGATGTAATAAATGTGTTGTGTGCCTATATGAGATAAGAGCGATATGCTTCAGTGCATAGGATCCGGTCAGATTATTTCACCTTAGGCGAATTATAGTTACTGATTGTAAGATCAATAATAGAATACTTTGTTCATATTTATTTAGGATAAACAATGTAAATTTTATCAATGAGATGACTTATGAAACAATATCCTTGTTAGACCGTCATTATGGTATCTAAAAATAGTAATTATGTCATCACATTCAACGCATTAACGCGTTTATTGCGTAATTATTCAGTCTGGTTCCTTTAAAATACCAACTTAACGACTGTAATTAAACTAAGTTTAGATGTCTTGCTTTTGTTGGCCACTTTATCTATCTAGTGCGTTGATTTTAATGTTTATTGTGACATAGTACACCTTTAATTTAAAGATGAATTGTCTCTATTCTTCAGCAAGTGATGACTAGTAGAAACTGTGTACGTGTATACCTGTATTATTATTATTATTATTCAAACTTGTTAATCTCTTTATTCATCTAATACAGGTCGGTCTGTTGCGTTGGCTCATCGTCTACAGTCTTCATTTCCAGCGTTACCTAATGATTCTAACTTATTAACATCTTGTTCAACGGATGAAGCTCTTCTACTCACTTGTCATGGATCCGTAATGTATATACATGTTTTAGGAACAATTTTCCCAATGACTCATCCCCAGAATATTCCTTTAACTTCTAATCCTAATGTGGCCCCGGGAGATTATCGTATACAAGCCTTCATTGATCAAATCTTACGCCCTTCTCGTCTGGCTCCGGCATCAGCTAGATTAAATTATTCAGTGTTTCCCAAAGAACGAGGTAGGGTACAGTCAGTTTTTCCTTAATACTGACAGGTTTATATTAATTTTAAAGGCAGTAAATAAGCCTTACCATCAGTCGACTTTAATTTGTCTTATAGTTAAGATTAATAAATATATTCTTAACGACTTGGAGCATATACAGTTGGAATTTTATTTATTTGACTTGATTAGCTTCTTCATTCTCCTCCTCTTTAAATAGTTTCAGAATTGAACGTATTATCTGAATTTGAAATCTTACAGACTTAAATGGTAATGTCCTCAATGGACTAACACTTATTTCATGATTGTTGTGAAAATCCTAGACAAAGCATTTGTTGTTAGCGAAAGTTTTGATTTTCAAATAATAACAGAAGAGTCATATACAAGTAGAATATCCCTTACTTAAAATAAAATCATGAACAACCCTGATCAATTCAATTTTTTCGATCAAAGTGAACTGATTAAGCTGTAGTCATCTGGCTTTCATCATTAAAATAAAATGTAGAATACTTTTAAATTATATGTCATTTCGCTTAGGAATCACAGTTACTTCTATTTTATGTCTCTTCACTTACAAGTGCTTTTAAATACTTATGGCGTTCCTTGTGAATACAATAATAACTAAGATAAACGATTGATTTTTTAATATTCAGTCTTCATTCAATCAAATTTCACTAATTAGTATTTTTCACTTAGTTTCATCAAAAATACCAAGACATGGTGCCAGCTCATGAAGTCATTGACTGTTAGACTAAACCAGGTAGAAGTAGGTGCAGAAAAAAAATGTCAGTTCGTACATTGTCTATATTTGTTTACTCATCTTTACTCCACATCTGTGCTCATGCATTTTACTGAGTAGATGGGTAAGAAGGTAAGGAATTACCGTCACTACTCACTGGATTATATCTCTTTTTCATCTATTATTAACGATATTATTTAATGCTTCTTAGTTTATTTTAATGTGCTAAATAATTATTTGATTATTCTTACATATACTAAATAGCCCAACAACATATTGAACGTCAAACACGGTATTGGCCACTTATGGAATCTCAAACATTACTGGACAAAACTAAGGTTAGTTAATGGAACTAATATCGTTGTAAATTATTCCCAAGTATTGTCTGGTTATTTTATTTTTGTGCTTAAACTTACCGACCATGCTGTTTCAAATTGATAATATTTGATTACTTTTTGTTTATTTATGATTACTGACTGGCTCAGCATAAAGTCTAGTGTATTATTTCTCAATTGTACCATTTAAAAAACAACTTTGTCAGAGAAAATCAATAAAATGATAACGAAAATCCTGGGTACTAAAGAGCGTAAATGTGAATACAGTATAAATTTGCGACTAATTCATACTATCGATATAAGTTACAAGATTTGTTGTGTATCATTTCTAGACCTTATCTTTTTAATCTATGGACCACTTAATGGCTTTATTTTCAACATAATACAGTGATTTTATGAATAGATATTGTAACCATCCTAACAATACTCAAGCCATCCTATATTATGGTATACAACAACAAAGTATTTGTAACAAGCATATTACTCCGATGGGTTTTTAGTTATCAGTTGTTTTTTTCCTGTATTGATACTCAACTATAAAGAATCATTGATTAGTTAACATACTTGATTGCGAACGTTTTATCACCAGTTTTGGTAATTTTCTTAGTGTCATGAGATATGTGTAAACCGTGTGAATATTTAACCATTATTTTGTTTATCTTGCTAATAATTCTACACCGACAATTTCATTTGATTGTAAACATATTGTCGAATCAAGTGATTATTATTGGTTTGTTTAATGTTCTTCAAGCTTCGATATTTGATTATGAATGTTTCATGAACACTAGTCTCTAGTTAATCAGCCCCCCAAATGCCCTGATACGGCCGAGAGTGGGGAGAGTCCACTCTCCCTCTCGAAATGCTCTCACATGGCCACGCGTATATAGCCTCTGCCAGGGAAGTCCTACTCACTGCCTTCTCGTGGCATTACTGTTGTTTACGAAAATGAGAAGACGAAAAGCGAATGTCTGGCGCTTTAACCGGATTCCAAACCAATGGTGCACATGGGCTCCAGTATCCTGCGGGAACAAATGGCGTATGAACCAATTGTTGGTCACCGGCTTCCATGGGACTGCATCTCCTTACGATGCTCCACTGTCTTGTGGATCAGACCTTCAGGTCGAAGGCTCGGGGAGTGGCCTCCCTAAGAAAACCACCTGCTTCGGTTTGGGCACCCGGGCAGTATCACAGCCCTCATACATATCGAATGAGATTTGTGTGGCGCATATGTATTCGATACCTCCTTGTACCAATATCTGTGTTTAAAATAAATAAAACTCTCTGTAAACATCCAAGTAATTTAAATCTGCCATCATGTTATCTACGGTATTAATGCTGACAAATTCATTAAGTTCATGTTAATGAAACGTTAACGTATATATAAAGATCAGTGATCACAAAGCGATCATCTTTTCCATTCTAAACCACAAATCTTTAATAACCAACAAAACTGACTAGTTAATACATACAGTAGTAAAACGTATCTACAAATTATTATTCAGACGGTATTTCTAAATATTATGAAAAAAGATTTAATTAAAACTTCAATGTTACTAAACTTTCATCAAACACAATATATGTCTTCTAATTGACTTTATATGTTATTTGTTATGTCTATATGCAGTTGTATAATGTTTACACATTTTGTAATTTAATTAAGGTAATGATCAGACCTTGGTAAACTATATAGATTTAAAGATCTATTGAGTAAAGTACATTCAGTCTCTATGATCTAAGTAACCTGGATGATATTATTTTTAGTTAATCAGACTATATAATATGGAAAATGTGTATCATCGACTGACTAATTGACTTAAGACAGGGTAATTTTTGTATGTAGAATTTAATAGAGAATTATAAAATATAAATAAGTAATATGACCTATATATCATATTATGCATACTATCGATTTTATTTACACGTGAGTGGTCGAGGTGAGTGTCATGTAGAGCACCCAATGAAATGAATCTTGTTATAATAACCGAAAATCAAACAGTAATCATAGATAATAGAGTATATTTTAGTGTGTCAGTAGACTTTTTGAGCAGAAAATCGTTTGTATTCTTTTAAAATAATTATTCTAGTTGAAAATAACCTTACTTACTTACTTACGCCTGTTACTCCCAATGGAGCATAGGCCGCTGACCAGCATTCTCCAACCCACTCTGTCCTGGGCCTTCTTTTCTAGTTCCATCCAATTCTTGTTCATTTTTCTCATGTCTATTTCCATTTCTCGGCGTAATGTGTTCTTTGGTCTTCCTCTTTTCCTTTGGCCTTCAGGATTCCATGTGAGGGCTTGTCTTGTGACGCAGTTGGGTGCTTTCCTCAATGTGTGTCCTATCCACTTCCAGCGCTTCTTCCTGATTTCTTCCTCCGCTGGGATCTGCTTTGTTCTCTCCCACAGTACGTTGTTGCTAATAGTGTCCGGCCAACGGATCTGAAGTATTTTGCGTAGACAACTGTTAATAAACACCTGTATTTTCTGGATGATGGCTTTCGTAGTTCTCCAGGTTTCTGCCCCATACAGTAGAACTGTCTTGACATTTGTATTGAAAATCCTGACCTTGGTGTTGGTTGACAGTTGCTTTGAGTTCCAGATGTTCCTCAGTTGTAAATATGCTGCTCTTGCTTTGCCGATCCGCGCCTTCACATCTGCATCAGATCCACCGTGTTCATCAATGATGCTGCCCAAATATGTAAAGGTTTTTACATCTTCCAAATCTTCTCCGTCAATTGTGATTGGATTGGTGCATTCTGTGTTGTATCGGAGAATCCTGCTTTTCCCTTTGTGTATATTGAGACCTACTGCTGCTGCCACACTGGTCGTCTTCTCCTGCATCTGTTGTTGCGTTTGGGATAGAAGGGCCAGATCATCTGCGAAGTCTAGATCATCCAACTGCATCTAGATGTCCATTGTATCCCGCGCTTCCCTTCAGACGTTGACGTCTTCATGATCCAGTCGATCACCAGGAGAAAGAGAAAGGGTGAGAGTAAGCAACCTTGCCTGACACCGGTCTTCACTTCGAACGACTTTGTCAACTGTCCTCCATGCACGATTTTGCAGTGTAATCCATCATATGAATTCTGTATGATATTGACTATCTTCTGAGGCACGCCGTAGTGTCGAAGAAGTTTCCATAGTGTTGTTCTGTCCACGCTATCAAATGCCTTTTCGTAGTCAATGAAGTTGATGTAGAGTGATGAATTCCATTCAATTGATTGTTCCACAATGATCCGTAGAGTTGCGATTTGGTCTGTACACGATCTATCCTTACGGAATCCTGCCTGTTGGTCACGAAGTTGGGCGTCTACGCAGTCCTTCATCCTGTTTAACAATACCCTGTTGAAGACTTTTCCCGGTATTGAGAGAAGAGTGATGCCCCTGTAGTTATCACACTTGCTGAGATCGCCTTTCTTCGGTATTTTGATCAGAAGTCCTTCTTTCCAGTCTGTTGGTACTTGTTCCTCATCCCAAATCTTATTGAAGAGAATGTGGAGTATCCTTGCAGTTGCCGCTACGTCTGCTTTTAGTGCCTCTGCTGGGATGTTGTCCGGTCCTGCTGCTTTGCCACTCTTGATTTGTCTGATGGCCATGCTGATTTCTTCAATTGTTGGTGGGCCAACATTGATTGGGAGGTCCGTGGGTGCTGCTTCGATGTTGGGTGGGTTCAGTGGAGCTGGTCGATTCAAGAGTTCTTTGAAGTGTTCTACCCACCTGTTTTGTTGCTCTTCAATGTTGGTGATTACCTCGCCTTCCTTGCTTTTCACTGGTCGTTCTGGTTTGCGGCGATTTCCAGAGAGTTTCTTTGTCGTGTCATACAGTTGTCTCATGTTTCCTTCTCTTGCAGCCTTTTCCGCCGTCGTTGCTAAATCTTCCACATATTTACGTTTGTCGGTTCTGATGCTCCTCTTCACTTGTTTGTTTACTTCTGTGTATTCAGCTTGTGCCTTGGCTTTTTCTGCTCTTGTTCGACTGGTATTGATTGCTGCCTTCTTGTTCCTCCTTTCTTGAATCTTATCCAGTGTATCAACAGTGATCCATTCCTTGTGATGGTGCTTCTTGTGACCCAGGACCTCATGACATGTTGAAGTGATTGCCTCTTTGATCCCCTTCCAGTTGCTCTCCACAGTAGTTCCTTCTCCATTGAGTAGATCATGAAAGGCCTGGAACTTGTTGCTGAGGACTATCTTGAATTTGTTGAGTTTGTTAGTATCCTGAAGAAAGGCCGTATTGAACTTTTGTGATATTGTCCGCCCCGTTGTCCAGTGCTTCTTGAGTTTCAATTTCATCTTGGCGACCAGCAAGTGATGATCTGATGCTATATCAGCTCCTCTCTTGGTTCTCACGTCCTCTATAGTCCTCCTGAACGTTTTGTTGATGCAAATATGGTCGATTTGGTTTTGTGTATAGTGATCCGGTGAAGTCCATGTGGTTTTGTGTATGCGTTTATGTGGGAATATGGTGCCGCCTATGACCAGCTTATTGAAGGCACATAGATTTGCAAATCTCTCACCATTTTCGTTCTTTCTCCCAGTCCGTGTCGTCCCATGATGTCTTCATATCCAGTGTTGTCCGTTCCAACCTTGGCGTTGAAATCTCCCATCAGAATGGTCAGGTCCTTTGTTGGGCACTTCTCGACGATTGACTGCAGCCTATTGTAGAATTGATCTTTAGCGTCTTCATTGTAGTCGTTGGTAGGCGCATAGCATTGGATGATGTTCATTGAAATGCCCTCTTTCTTTGTTTTGAACGAGGCTTTGATGATCCTTGGTCCATGAGATTCCCATCCTATAAGTGCATTTTGCGCTTGTTTGGACAGCATCAATGCAACTCCTTGTGTATGTGGTGCATTTTCATCTTCATGGCCGGAGTATAACAGGAGCTCTCCTGTAGTTAGTCGTTGTTGTCCAACTTGTGTCCAATGTGTTTCACTGATCCCAAGTACCTCTAGGTTGTATCTTCTCATTTCTGCAGCAATTTGGAAGGCTCTCCGGTGTCCCACATTGTACGAACATTCCATGTACCTAAATAAATGGTCGCTCTGGTTGTCAGAAGGGGCATCGGCCTCGTAACTTCCGAAGGAATTCGGCTTTCATCATGAGGCGTCATAATTCTTCTAAATGAAGACCTTCTGACTCCCAGGGCAGAGTTTAAAAGGTTTGAATAATTTTTTCTGGTTAGCGTTTTTTTAGCGAGTTAGTTTTCTACGGGATGGGGACGCTAACCCCATGCCCAACCCTCCTCCTTTATCCGGGCTTGGGACCGGCAGTAGCCCCCGGAGGGACTCCAGGCGGAGTTTGAAAATAACCTACGTGGGATGAAATATTCACTTGAAGTACTGCGGAGTAGTAGTAGTTGGTATTCTATCCATCAATTAGTTCAATCAGATATCGGTTATTAGAGTTTCATTCTTTAGCCTGTTCAGTTATGAAACACCGAAGTTGCGATTTGTTGATAATGAAGTTTATAAATCAAACATCTTATAAAAAGCAAACACCTTTATTATCATTGTCTTATTTTTAGCTAGCTGCTCCAATATTTGAAAATTTACCAAAAGAATACCTTGAACCTAGTGAAATATCTGCCTGTGAAGAATCTATAGTGAATATTGTAAACTCTATTAAACAGTACGTTTGCCTGTCCGATTCTAGAAAGAACTCTTCTAAACGGTAAGCTTTTGAGACTCATAGAGTTAATCTTTTGTTAGTGGGTTTATTTATGAACTTGTAATTATTTATCTTACTTAGATTAAGATAATAGAAAACACTTGCAGCTCAGGATGAGAGTTTGAAGGTTTTGTGTTCACCAAGCTGAATGGCGTATTCTTAGTTAGATAATTTGTAATTTTGAGATACAGTGTAATGTGACTGTTCTACCAAGTTCAAACTAGACTGTTTTTGTGATGAGTAGTGATACTAACCAGCTGTCCAACCCGAATTATATGTAGCAAGATTTTAATTTTCAATTCATTGTTTAAAAGTCAAACATTTTAACTATTAAGTCACTTTTTCTCCGAAATGTAATGAAATAAATATTATTAACTATAACTCAACATAATCTTTAAAAATACCAAGTTGGTAGGAATCTATATATAGTTGTTAAAAATAAAAAAGTAATGACACTTCATTTGTAATGTAATAAATTAACTAGCTATTCATCACATAAGTATTTTCAGCCAAGGTATTGTTTATTCCTTCGCAATAAAATTAGGTTGAATGCCTACCTTGAAGACAAAAATAAAGCAGTGGATTTTAAATTTCAGTAAAAACTTCGTATGACTCCTCTTTTTTCGACGAAGAAAGTTTGGATTCAAATAGCTAACTGTTACAAAGTGAAGTATATAAAAGTTAAAAGTACTTATCTTTGTCTTTTCCACTGTTCAACAGAAATCAGTATTTGTATTATTTTACAATGAGTATTGAAAAATCTACAGGGTAGTACAAGGGTTTAGATACAATTAAAAAAAATCATCTTTATGGTTTAAAATAGTTTGTATTCTAACACAATTTAGATTCTGAAAGAGATCAATGTCTTTTTCTTTGTATAAGAGAGCTATAATGTCAATAGTATTGATTATTTATTCTTCTTTCGTGGCTTTATTACATCATTATTTAGTGAATATAAAAAATGATCTTTTGTTTTTCCACAAAAAAATTGATTCTAGAGGATCATCATCTGGAACTTTGCCTGTTGCACCTGTACTTCAAGCAGAAGCAATTGTAATGGCAACTGAATTCGATTATATTCTTTCCTTATATAGTGATATATCAACTGAACATGAACAAATTCGAAATTATTGGATACAAACTATAAGTTCATCAAAAACTAATGACACATTAAATGGACTAAACCGTTTGTCAAATGAAAATGACTTTAATTCATTAAATCTTACAGAAATGATTCGTCTAGCTAAAACAATAGCATATGATCAAACGAATATTGTTAATCCTACCATTCCTTTAGCACTTATAAAAATTATGAAAAGTTTAACAGTTCTATGTGAACGTCTCCATAGGCATACAGATTCTCATGATTCCAAATGTATCACTACGCAAATAAATCAAAAGTATGTGTGGTTTATTTAATTTTTACTAGTTTGATACCAGTTTTAAATTTATTTTGTACTATAGTAACTAATTTGGTATAGTATCAAAATTAAAAACCATATTAATCAGATATTGGTTTATTGGTATACAAAAAGGTTGACATGTTTTGCAAAAGCCTATCTAAAGTACTTTCATAATTGGAGTCCTGAAATTGAATGGTTTTTTTGGATAATCAAGTAATATCAGTAGTATATAAACCTGTGTATGATTGGTGGATTGTCGGTGAATCAAAAGCTACATATATGATGAGTTTAATGCGAGCCTATACACTGTTTTTGTTAGCTTAATGAAGTTCATCAAAATTGGTCAATCATAATCGGTAAACAGCCTGACGGAGATGGGAATGGCCAAGTCGTCATGCTAACTTAGCACTATAAGATAAAATTAACAAGATGAATAATAAAGCAGCCGGAATTACTGCAGTAACATTGACAGTCAGAAAGACTAAACACTGAGAATATGGTTCGAGAACATGGAGTCTAAAGGTATGTCTGATGGGTAATAAAACTCAAAATGTCGAGGAATAGTGAATGCATTTGACCCATTGTGTCCAATTACAAGTAATGTTACTCAATCACTGGTCGTGCGGAACCTAACCAGGTAATTCGTATCTATCAACATGATTTTAATCCATGGTCAATGACTTCGTGAACTGATACTAATCTTCATTTGATCATCTGTTAGTTTACTTCCAAGTTTTCTAGGCAACGTTGCACATCACTAAAATATCAACTACGTTTTTCATTCGAAGTATGAAGGCAAATGTCATTTTGTACTTTTTAATTAGTTCAGACGTCAAACTGACCAGATTTGTATTGCAGTTATAAGTGGCTGATTTTTAGTAATCCACATAGAATATATAATATTGTTTCGTGTGTTATAGTGTTAATACCACTTCTTAGTTACTGTCGTAATAAAATTATGCATAAGGTAGATAGGTGAAGGTATAAATTTGTGGCTTTGAATAATTACTATTTTCTCTTATAGTACAATCCTTTTTTTCTTATTCACATTCAGATCTGCATGTAACCCGGTGCAATCGCCCAAGATGATGGCAATAGTTGAACCTGGTAAAATTTCTATTTTAACCTGTTTGACAATAAAATCCTTTTTACTCAATTTAAAAATGTCAGGAACTAGAGGTAGCAAAAGCTGTAAATTTAGAAAGAAACAATGATTTTTTCAATACTTATAATGATAACAGTTCAAATTTTGAAAAATTCCCATATTGTGATTTAGAACAACATATATAAGCGAACAATATTGTTTTCGATTAGATCCTCATCAGGCTTTACTCTAATATACAATAAATATTTATATACATATACGAAACCATTAAACTAATCAAGACAGTTTATGAGTCAGTGATAACATCGTAATAGATCACGCAAAGAAACAAAATAACTAAGAAGCACAAATTGATAGTGTGATAACAGGTGTACTAGTTGTGATAAGAATAAGTATCTACATACGCTTAGGAAGCTCGCTTTATTCTATCGATGCCACTTACCTACGCATGCGGTGTACTAGTTTATTTTTCGATTAGAAAACTAAATGGGATCGATTCACGAGATAATCAACTGTTAAACTGAACCTTATCGGAAGATCCAAAATTACTGACTACGCTTTTCGAACTAATGGTAATCAATGGTTTAAAAAGTCAAAATAGCTCTTAATCGATAACAGCGACTCAAGTTTATTAAATTTTCTTATGTTCGTGTAAATCTTACTAAAATTCTTTTTATTTGATTACAATTTCAGCTGATCGAACAAATTTCATAGATCGTTTAAAATCTGCAAAACGTCGACGTGTACAAACGCAGAAATTAGATTTTGTTGGTGTACTTACTGCAGATTCTAAAGGTTTATGTCAATTGTACAAAGGTTTAAAAGATAAAGAGAAATCTAATGCTTAGTTGTTTTCTGTTTGCTTCATTTAAAACAAGCAGCATATTTTTAGATTATGCTTTTGTTTCAATCTGTCCAATAGCCGGACGCGAGTGACTGATAAATTATGTTCTATGTTAGGAGCTCACAAAATTACTTTTGTGTACTAAAAAACACGGAGAGTTAGAAGCAAAGCAAAAAAAGTTAAGACTTGTAGACTACTCAGGGTCTAGGCTTCTGATTAGGAGTTGATATTTTCAAGAAACCCTAGCTTTTTCCCAAGAGAGAGATAGTAGTGAAACAGACCCAGTAAAAAACCAACTTTAGGAGTTCTAAGTAAGCCGTGCTGAAGGTCAAACACTCTTATACGTGATGTTGATTTATGTGGACAAATAATTTTGCTCGAATAAAAAGCAACAAAGAATACGATTACATCAACAAGTCCTTCGCTCTGAGAATTATTATCAGTTGATGAGACTTTCCAGTGAAATATACTAAGTTTTATGGATCATACTTTTAAACATAGTTTGTAAAACTAAGACTTCAAATTAAATTTAAGAATATTACTTATACGATATATTTCTAAAGGGTTGTCTCGATTATTAGTTTTGTATTAAATAGGTATTCTTCAACTGAAGTAAAAATCGAAATTGTGCAAGTCAGTTTGATCTGTAAACGAGATATATGTTGAATAAATTACTAAATTGTTTTCACTTTAGATCACCATTGATATGTGTCTACATAATATTAGATTTTTAAGTACTTGATATTTCAAAAAGAGCTAATGAATTATTTTAAGTTACCGGTTTTACGTAATATAAATATTCAAATAATTATATATCTCACCAGAATCCATCATTTATAAAATACTTTGAAAATTACCTATCGGTCTAATAAATATTAGATGAACACAAATTCTTAGTTGTTATTGGGAAACTGCCATTTGTACCATAAGATACAGAGACCTATTATAAATCTTTCGATAAACATTAGTCTCTTCAAAGAGAGTTGACATCATCATGCCAATGGAGAAAAGGTGAAACAGCAATTTAATACTATTTATGCAAAGCCTTCTTAATATTTATTTTAAAGGTCATAATTAGAAATAATAGTAAAAATGCTGTGTTACTGTTAGAATCAATTTAGTAACTCAAACATTGAAGTTTACGCAATTAAAATCTATGCAGGAATCACATAGCAGCAGAAACTTGATTAATGGTCAATGTATAATTACGTAAACTGATAAAACGAGACTACTTAATATTTCATAATAATACGATAACTGTTTAAAATTCATATTATAATAAATGAAGACTGTACATCTCTTAAATATTATAGAAATAGAAAGAATCGGTAGAAAAAATATTCGAGTTAATCAAATTTAATCGTAGACACTGGTACTACAACTAATATTCGTCCACCATCGGCAATACTGATAACATATGATCCACCAGTTCTTATTGGCATTTTCATACTGATAATTGGGGATAATTTTCCTTGTTCATCATTTCGATTAGTTATCAAGTGTAATTCAGATGACTTGAACGATTCAAAGTCACCACCAGTAACACCAAGTGGAACTAATTCTTTTATCCATCGACGTAACAAAGCAGAGATATGTGAAGAATTTGAACTATTTTGATTTCTCATATTTACAGATGATGGGGGTAAAAGTTGAACTGAACGTTCATATTTAGCAGTCCATGGATTTACAACTCGTAGATAACTCTGAAAACAATGTATATTAGAAACAAGTATATTTTAGTGATAAAAAAACAGCGGAACTTAAATAGTTACGTAAACTGATGTAGATGACGGAAAATTTTATAACCTGTTACTTAGTTTTTAAGTTTATAAATCATTGTGCTTTTAGTCGATAACACTAACTTCTTAAAGATACATCAAGATGATACAGGTAGACCATATTATCAAGTAGAGGAAAAGTAAAGACTATGGTGTTGTTAGACAACCACTAATTAGTAAATTGTAAGTGGTAAAATGTAAATGAGTTGGTTAATCAATCAGAGGACTGAAGTAAACACAATGGTCGAAGTACCATGCAGTGACCTTTACACACTTATAGAAAAAACACGGTATATATATATATATATATATATATATATATATATATATATTCTGCCACCAAAATGACAAGATTAGGGCTGGAATTTGAAATTGTGAATACATAAGATGCATTATTCAGTAAATTACTATAATAAATTAGGGCACTTCGTATCTGTATAGGCTGCATCACAACATAAAACTGGTGTATTCAGGTTTTAATGAGCTAGTGTTATTTATTTCTGAAACTGTATAATTATGATTGTTTATTCGTTTGTTTTTTACCGAATTACAAAAAACATCAACGACGGACTTCATATCGAAATGCCTTGACACAAATGGTTTGATATGGTGGTGAAAGTTGTCACATCTACCACAGAGGTTCGCTTTTAAGAATATGGATCATGAGCAATTGAAGGAATTTACTAGCGTAATGGTATGGAAAAGAAGTTGGTATGGAACTATATTTAGTATCTACGTTCTAGTCAAGCGCTGACCGTTTAAAGGCCCTTTTTCTAAGGATCAAGGAGTTATATAGGATTCAGATTTAAATAGATCGTTAATTTTTCCCGCTATTGGAAACACAGTTGTTCCATAGACGGTAAAGCTTGATATTTCAATTTAAATATAACAGGTGGAGCAGTCTTTGGATTCGTCGGAACATTCCGCTTTATATTCGTAAATACCAATCATATTTTGTTGTCGTGTAGGTGTTTACGAGACGATACAGTTTACCTATCCGTTTACTATATCTACTACCAAAACAATTTCATGTCATTGGCATCATAAAATAACAAATGGTTAGTACGCAAAATTTTCAACCAACGATTTTCCACCTTGATTTTAGTTTAAAATAAATTTCCGGTTATGAATAAAAAAAACACAACTATACATGAATTTCGATACAGAGGTATTGCGCATGAATAATAAAGCCTCATATTTTAAAGAAATTGTCACACTTTTTTGTCAGATAAAGTGATCTAATTAACGAAACAGTAATCGATCGTCTATAACTAAACCAAATATAGAACTGACAACAACAAATTTGTGGCATGGTGTTCAAGGTTCATGTTATTGACTAAAGTATCCATTATCCTAACCACGCAAAAACATATTGTTGAGTGCGAAAGGATAAGGATTAGTTAATTATTTTCGCGACAAGAGTTTGAACTGTGGAAATATTGTTGCTGTGCGATGATCATTTTATCTTCTCAACTAAGCTACTTCGGTCTTATTTTTTCGTGTTTCATCGATGGCATTTATTAAGAAATTCATTGGTTGTGAAATCTCGACCCGATTCGGAGATAAATTATTTAGGTGTCAATTCTTAAACTATGGAGCTCAATTGTTTGATATCATACACTAACAAGCACGAATGGTCGGTATAAAAAATAAGACAAATGAATATGATAACACTTAACTTATTCTCCAACAAAATCCATTTATAGCATGAATATTTACAAAAATTAAGATAAAATGTTTACTGACCTGATCACCAAAAACCACACGTCCATCAACGGATAGTAATAAACTGGACATGTTGAATGTTGATAAATTCTACAATAAAAAAGTATACGTAATATAAATAGAAAGTATTCAAAGTACGGTATTATTTACAGAGTAAGAGTATGATTAACTGTCAAGGCGATTTACAATTGATTGATCACTGTTTGGTGATCAATGTCATCTGTGTCAGGTTGTTCTCAGTGCAGATCAAATCCTATCGACCAAGTTGTAATATGGCTACTAGTCTAGGTGACTCGACATTGCGTGCACTATTTCGAGATAAGATGATGGTTGGAGGTAGTCAACAGGAAACCCTGGACCTAGGTTTTGTGCTACTTGGCACTTGTCAAGCAAGGCGTACCTGTAATCTTGAGGGATGTGATTCGATCTGCACTGGGAAGGACCTAACACACATGATGTTGATCACCACTCAGTGATCAATCAATTGTAAATACATCTCAGTCCTACAAGAGGTCAGTCGCGGCCTGGATAGCCCAGTGATAACGCCTCTAACTGTGAAGCTGAGTGACACGGGATCGAATCCGTCAGGGCGTATCATTTCCCTCAAGATTACAGGTACACCTTGTTAACGAGTGCCAAGTAACACGAAACCTAGGTCCAGGGTTTCCTGTTGACTACCTCCAACCACCATCTTATGTTAAGACGATATTGATCTAATCATGTAAATGTATTTTATTATTAATTATTGACGTATGCACTAAGAATGCAATTTTATTGAACTGTCACATGGATATCGTCGACAGCTGATGAAATATTTGTAAAATTTATTTTGAAGAGAAAAAGTACAGAGATTCGATTGAGATAAAAGAGTTTGTTTCCAAAGAACAGAAAGGTTTATCAGTGGGTAAATACATGTTAAATATATTTTTCAAATTTTACCGTAAATTGAGCAAACAGGTAGCGCGCCTAGCAAGAAATTGGCTTTTTTCACTCATAAAGTCTAGTTTTAGTAAAAGATTCCGGTAGTAGGATATTTGTAAAGCTTCACGATACAATCTTTATATGAAATAAAGTATATATAAAAACTAGGAGTGAAAAAAATTATATAGACCTTTTAAAAATTACTCATTATTATTACTGTCCATAACAGTTCGATAACACAGTACAAATTTGTGCACTTAACGTTGTGTCATAATACATTGTATATGTGATGAACTGTGATACCACTCGGCAGCTTAAACACACTTAGAGTTACTTTCAAACACCACAGTTAAAAGTCGTTTTAAAAAAGTAGTTTTATGCCTGTACAGTATATTTTAAATATCAAAGCAATTTACTAGAGGTATGATAAGTTATTTACGTTAAGCAATCTATAGAACGCACAATATTAATGATTCTTAAACAAAGACTTCCCTTACGAAGCGGTGATTCAGTCAATTGAGCACTAAACTATTAAAAACAGAATTTAAAAAGTTTAGGGCAACTTGCGTGAAAAGTTTACGTATAGATTAAAAAAAGTCGAAAACTCACGGCTTTGAAAGACCGTATTATACATTTGTGCTGCAAATCCCATATAACCACACTACCGTCCATATCATACGTTACTAGACGATAATTTGCTAAGGTTGACAGTGAATTACAACTTTTCTGTGTTTTATCAGAATACCTATCACTTCGCATAAATAATCGTAGGTTTATTGATCCAAGACGATTGTACAACGACACTTTTTTATTTTGAACTTTCCCCGATGTTGATGATGATGCTGCAAATTGTTGTATTTCTGAAGAAATTCCAAAACCATTGCTAAGTAAACTGAGATCAATTAAACGTATCTCAAGAGATTCTATTTGATTTTTAGCCTTGAGATTTACACCATTATTGGTTGTCATCGTGTGAAGTAATTCTAAACAACAAACGTATAATGATCCGGATGCATGGCTGACACCAAGAGCAAGCTAAGAGTAACGGAATAAGTGAACAGGTCTAAATTAAAACAAACAAGTAAAAATAAAACTCAAACAACTATTTTATAATATAACGCTAATGAAAGAGCTTAGACAAATTTTTCACATTTTACCAGCTAGCTTGATAAATAACTTCAGTGAACATGAATTACATAGAGTGGAGGCTATAGCATACATTATTTCTGTCGATTGTAGTCATGAAATTATTCGATTCAACAACTTTGTTTTGAATAAAGGGAATTAAATCGCTGAAAAATTCCTATTATATTAAAACACAATTAGATGAACGAAGAATATTCTTTTCAATGAATTTCTCATCAGGTTCTACAATTATCATATCCAAATTAATAATCCATAAAATTGGACAGATTTAAGGCAGAGTACATCATTTGGAAATTGTAATATGTGAATTGAGAATTGTTGTTTGTTATATAAATCAATTCAGATTGTTAATGTTGGGGCTGTTTAATATAAAGTGTTAACTTGAATCAGTTTATAAATGATGTACTCTGCCTTAAATCGTTAAACACTCCGAACAACAACAACAACTACTACTACTCTCTCTCTCTCTCTCTCTCTCTATATATATATATATATATATATATATATATATATATATATTTGAACAGGTGCAAACAGTGAATTGTAACCAATCAATTACTCAGTGCCAAAAACAATGTGGAAAATTACAAGAGTACTAATACCTACTAGTTTACAATATCAAATTGATTGGTTTTATAACCATTTCACGTAGAACAACAATAGTAATAATTAAAAAACCATATGTAAACTTACACGATTTAAGTTCATACAAAGGACAGGCGTAGTATCAACAGCGCAATGAAACAATGGAGAATCATACTCAGATGAGAAAAACTAAATTAGAAAATATACACAATTAGTGAATAAAATTGAATAGTAAAAACAATAGTGTTACATTTGATTATTATTGTATTATATTATTTCACGACAATCGGTTCCTATGAATAAAACTTTTTCTAAAGAATTCCACTCTAAATGAGGTTGTAAAAATTCGTTGTAAACTACTACTGTAGTGTGGGTTACTTATGTCCACATAAGTAGTATATAACAGTGGTCAGGCATAGAATGTTTTTCAGTAAAAGATCGATAAGGAAAGAACGGGAACGGAACGCAATTGGTATGAAAATGCATGAACAATGAATTGATATTCGCAAAAGGAACAGTTAAGTTTGAGACGATGGATTGACATTTTGCAGTTTAACTATTTATTATATGGTTCTCAGTTTTTAGTGAGATGCTCTGTAATTTCGTGTCAAATACATTCGATTGTCCTCACTCATGTTCTTGTTCACTACACCACTATCTCCAGTTAATTTCTAATGGTTTGGATTATTCTGTTGCTGATATTTTGATTAGTCTTAACCGGCAGAGTGCATTACCCTGTGAAGTTTGATCCGATGCAGCCATTATGTCTCAGATTTACATGGAATAGACAGAATACGACTAGAAATGAAGTCTAGGATGGGCCTTTCATGCTATTTGGAGTTCATCAGTAGGATGTACCTGCATCTCAGGTGGACGAGAACTCCAGGATGGAGGTACATCCGGATTACCCTGATTGAAATTCGATTATTCAATGAATGAGCCAGCATTTTTAATACCAAATTCACTGTTTAAATTACACTAAATTGAGTTCATCTAAAAATTTATATTTGTTTTATACTTTGACTTACTTTAATACAACCATCTTCTGATCCACTGACTATAAGCACTGCGATATGATTTAAATTTATATTTGTAAGCAAATCATTGGGATTATCTACTGTGTTTTTATTGAAATATTTCAAATAATCTAATTGACTAATTGCACGAGAATGTGAATGCCATTGGCGAATTAATGAAAATGTCGGTAACAAATTTCCCTTAGTATAAACTACATTGAAATATGCTACAACACCATGACTAGTTCCAATACAAAATCTAGAAAATTTAATGGTAATAATAATATTCGTGATTTATTCAAAACCATATATTTTTAATTATAATAAAGAATTCGTGGCACAAAATATCCAAACTTGCCAGAAAATTCACATTTACAAAACAAAAATGATTTAAATTGTGAACAATCCAAAATGGATGTATGATACATTTTAAACAGTGATTAGTAATGGGATTGATATTCAGCTATAGATCATTTTGATCAGTCTTCCTACTATGATCATCCCTTTTTATTGTCAAACGTATTTGATGCATGAATTCTAAATTATTTTCAGTAATTAAATTCATTTCAGCTTACAAAAATTCTATGAAGGCATGTAAGTGAACACAGTTAAAACAGATAATTAATCAAAACAAATTTAAAGCAAGTAATGTACGTAACAAATTGATATAATTCACACTAAATTGTTTGTTTATGTTTGTTATGTCCCGATAAGCATTATGAATGGTAACTCCTAGGATCCATTTATGGACCAATACTATGCGTATATTTTTATCGTATAATTGTTGAATAACTAAACTATTCATATTCATGTCCCTCTTATCATGAGCTTAGTTTTGACCCATAGACTATTATTATACGATTTACTATTCTTGAATTATGCCCTGTCTATTATGCCTCTCATTCAAAGCCACATTTGGCCAAATCTTGTTTCCTATTTTATGGTACGGTGTGGTCTGTCTGGTTGGTATATAAACCCAGTATGCTTGAAATAAACGATTCATATTGCAGAGGCTAAGATTGGTGTTCTGGACTTAACTGGATGGGCTAGGCGGAAAGCAGGAGCAATCAGGACTCTAGACTGCTTGCACGTGTTTTATGCGTCATTAGACCGATCGATAATTCACTGCTCTCTAATTGGAGGTATCGTTACGTTATACATTAACAGGGCACGCATGCAACGAGTTATAACAATGTTAAATGAAAAGTAGTACAATTTTTATTTTTATCGTATTTTCAGATGTTGACATGTGTAATTTATAACCGTATTTACAATGATAAAAAAGTCTAGACCGCGATATTATTTAAGAAAAAAAAACACAACTGATTTCCTAGTGACATTTACCAGATTTATTACGATTGAAAAAACTTTCTTTCTTAAAGTTTTGAAAATACTTTTTAGTATTTTAAAATTTGGTGAACAATGTAAGAATTAAGGTCATTATTGACCATTTAATCATCATCTTTATTAATTCAATTACAAAATACAAATCTTAATTTTAAAAAATCCTACATAATAAAATACATTTTGAATGTTTAAACTGGAAAAAGTAGTCATTCAGTTACAACGTAGGACCAGGCACATACATGCATCGGTCTAAGTTGTCACACCTCATTAGCACAGCAAGACGAACACCGGATTCATAGAAGCAGTTAACTCAATGGTGTAATATATATAAAGGAAAGATTTTATGTAAGGACATAGTACAAAAAGAAAGATATGAAATAATTTTAATCTCATAGTTTAAGGGAAGACAAATAGTGTATACACCTACGCCATTGTGGTCGATTCTGAGCCATATCACCCACAATCTTCAACTATTGGTTACGGGAAAAAATAGTAATTGGATGAGAAAATAAACTTACTATAAGAGATTTTAACGATTAATGAAAATGGAATAAACTTTTAGAATTTTTCATATGATTAATAGTTACCTTGATTCATCAATTATTTTCATTATTGTTATTCCTCCAGGATGTATCTTTGAATGTGAAATAGAAGATGAATTTTGTGTTTCTTTCTTGACCAATAAGTGATCATTATTAACGTTGTTTAAGCATAAAATATCTAACAGTTGTCCAGATTCACAGTTCCAAATCTGTAAAAGAGGTGATATAAATACATATATGAATGCATACACATAGTCACTATCTAATATTAACCTCATGCGTTCTGATATTTTTTTGTTGTGCTTCTAAAAGAAGAGCATAAAATAACTTTAAAATTCAGTTGTATCACAAATGGATATAAATAGATAGGTAGACAATATACTTATGACATTGGGTTTAAAATTCTCTTCTACCTATAAGTTTAGGGAATGCAGAATTATTATAGATTTTGTATTCACAAAAGGCTTTTTACAATCTTTATTCTTAATGTAAACAAGATAGTAAATGAATTAGATAAGTCGGACAACTATAACACAACACTTTAACAATATATTCATCATGTGACTAAATAAAGAAGTCAGGAACTCGAGGAAAGCTTGACAAACCTAGAAGTCAAAACTGTGACAAAATAACTCAGTTTTTATGGCAACAACTATGATCTTGGAACATAAAACGAAAATAGCAAACTAGGTGACGAAGCGACCGATTAGATAATAGCAAAACCAGTGGGATTATATAAGTTGGCGTAATGTTCTCAAGGCCTTCCTTGCAGGTCAGAATTATGACCAGTTGACAAAAATAATAAAAAAATAATAAATGACTTAATGTATCCATAACGCATATCTACATCACTTCTTAATATCAATTAACAAATAAATTTTAACATTTTAACCTACTTAAAAAGTCCACGTATTACAATATGTCTATATCCTTTACTATTTAAACATTTTAATTGTAACTGTATCAAACTTTTATTTTTCTGTATTTTTCACCATGGTATTTAGAATGATTAGTTAATTTAATAAATTTAGATGAATAACAAAGTACATAATTTACGTATTATACATTTAGTAACATCTTTTTACCATACATAAAGGGGTTAGAGATACAACCTGGTTTTCTGAACCACTTATTTAATTCAGAGGTAATCCTATAGACTGTATAACGTTCTCACTGACATATTATATTATCAATCATCAGTACATATGAAGTATATACTGGATCAGTCCATTTCAGCAATCATCCATGTGGAACATTAATAGAATGTTACCATGATCAGTAATATTGAGTTCTTGATTTATTCAAAAGAACCAATACATTAGTTAATGTTGATATTAGCTTTTTACATAGATATGGCGATAAAGTGAATAATTTACTTTCCATAATGTTTAAATAAAGCCGATAACGTTAAAATACGACCAAAAAGTATGCACGATTAGCACTTATTAGACTATTGGTAGATTATGCAAAAAAAATAACTGATGATTTTATTCAACAATGTAAATATTGCAAGGGAATACCAGAGCAAACGTAGTTTAAATGATTTATCATATCATTTCTCCCAGTACATTATATTTGATCGACCTATGGAAACTTGATCAACAAATGACAAGACATCAAGTTAACAAAGAAGACTACACTACAGATCCTGAATTCGACTTTAATTCACGCACTGTAATGCTGTATCGGTCAGTTAGCCGCAACGTGGAATATGGTACGTACGTACATCGTTTCTAGTTGCCACACATGATTCACACAGAAGGATAAAATTGTGAAGTAGAAACCCAGGGTAGTGGAAGTAATGACAGTATGTGATAATAAGAAAGATTGAGGATCGAAGATCTGACGCGAAAAATACAAATTAACGAAATAAAAACAAAAATACTAGGGAATTCAGAAGCTCACAATCTGAGGCAAAACAAAGAATGGATGCACCTGGGCTACCGCAAACGGTCTTGAGCCATATCATTCAAAGGCTATGATCGCCATTTGAGATAATCAAGCAAACTTCAATCAGGTAGTCTACACCTATTAATATGGCTCAGTCCAACTGTCAAAGTTTAGATCAGGAGTTGTAATATTTGCTAGGAGGATAACATAAGCTATTTGTTCAACCACACAATTAAGAGTACATTTATTGATGCTTACCTCAATGGTCCCATCACTGCATCCAACAACCAAGAGTCCTTGTGGCAAGAAATCCATGCACCAGATGGTAGCTAATAAACATTTTAACATTTTGAAAATCAAATCATAACACATAATATACACGCTTTTCAAATGAAATGAGTGAAGTATACTTTTCCAAGCATTGTTAAGCTGCGGTAATTAACTGAAAATGTAGAAGTTTGTAATCTGGGAAATAAATATACACATTTCCAATGCTTGCTTATTAAGCAATTGATTTATAGTATTGTTACACTGACCCCTTAACTCTTGACATATCGCCTCTTAACATCCATAAATGATATCAAATTAATCATAAACCTGCAACTCACTTTTAGACCAAAAATGTTCTAGTCATGTATGCGTGCCAAAATTTATCATTCATAGTGAGTTGTAACTTTGTATGATATGTATTATATACAATTTTGTGAGCTTTTAAATTTGAATAACACAGAACAATACGTGGTTGGTCCACCCAGTACATTAGGAGAGGGTAGTATTCTGCGAGGGCAATCGATCACTAAAGACATACAATAGCTGAGCTACTAAACTCAGTGTTATTGGCCATAAGTAAGAAAATCGTTTCTGGATCCATCTTTTGTTTGTGACCACTGGTTGCGATTGTGACGATGACCAATTGTGTACTTGGGTGATATTGCGTCTTTGTCTGACATTAGCATTCATATAACCAGTGGTTGGGATTTCGCAATACATATCCTAATCGTTTCATTCAATGGAGATTCACATACATACACCGATCGATGTCCCATCATAACCTAGTACCTGATGTCTAAACTCGAGGACTGCCAACCACCATACATGAGAAAGGCTTCGACCTTATCCATGACCAAATCAAAGCTGTACACAATTTAGTGGATAATAACTGCACCTATCTTCTACAGAAAAACCGGCCATACATTAAAGAGGATGGGGAAGCATTGAGGTTAGAACTTATCAAATGATAGTATCTGTACACACATTCAATTTGTCATTAAAATTTCAAACATTTTTGTATTTGAAATCAACACGGGCTTAATGATATCAATCCAGACTAAACATTAACTGTCGAGTAAATGTCAAACAAAAACCTAGATTTAAAATACATAAAACGGTACTGTGTTTTATAAATGAATCCTTTGTTAAAACACGTAATATAAGAAATAAATATTTTAAAACATAATTCTTTATGGATTCAATGATCTCATGTTTTGTTATTTAACGTAAATCATATATCCAGTGCATAATTTTATTTTATTAACTCAGATTTTTGAACATAGCTTTAAATCACACTGTAAGATTAAGATCTAACGACACTACCCGGGTGCCCAAAACAAAATGCGCGAAGCAAGGTTTGAACTAGCAGACTTATTAGAAAGTTTAATGGCCTAACCATTTACCCATAGCCCCACCAACGCGTAAGCATCAAAACTATAAAGACAACTAACTTTCAATACGGGATTGACGTCAAATATGTGCTTCCTTGACTTTGGTCCCTTTATATGGTAATAATCACAACAACGAGGCAGGTGTCACATACATACAAACAAATTAGGATCTAATGATGGACAATCACAGATACTAAAAAAAAGAACGAAAAACAAGACATATCAATTGGAAGTACTTACAAAATTTTCGGCATGCGACAGATGACGGCAAGTTTTTTCGTTTAGTATTTGCTTCTTCCGAATACCTAAAAAACCATAAACACAAGAAAATAAGACTAATTATCATTGAAAATAAAGATTGTTTCAAATGATCTAAAGTACATTTGATTAGACAAGAACACTAGTAATAACAAGAAAGATATCATTCAGTGTAATAAACAACAGAGGTTGTGCACGTATAATTCAGATAGGAAGAAATTAGGAAATCTGTTTTTGAATATCCTTAAGATTGTAAGACCAAATACTTAGATGTCTTAATAAATAAATTAAATTACGAAATACGATTTAAAAGTCTGTATCAAAACTGTTGGTAATTTGGAATATTGTGTGACGTACTGATACATATATTTGCTGCCCTCTTGTACCAATATTTATGTGTTCAAATAAATAATAATAAACTGATTTAAGATCTGACTAGAAAATGGGTTTGGATGGGAGATCCGAAACATAACGCCCAGGCGTTTTAAACGGCTTCAATCAGAAGGGCACGTTCGACGGCAGATGAAATGTGATTGAGGCATTAGAAGTCATTCGGAATCTGTTGGATATTTAAAGTGGACATGTGGAGAAAAACTCTTTAAATTCTGACAAATTATCCTTGCATATTTGAACTTGATAGCTTCGAGATCAAGTATATTCATTTCGCTGATACTGCTAGATTACGCGATTATAAACTCATTGATCTATTTACGAGTAAAACATACTGTTTAGATGGTGGTTGGAGGTAGTCAACAGGAAACCGTGGACCCGGGTTTCGTGCTACTTGGCACTCGTCAGCAAGGTGTACCTGTAATCTTGAGGGAACTGGTGCTCCCTGGCGGATTCGATCTCGTGTCACCCAGCTTCACAGTCAGAGACGTTACCACTGAGCTATCCGAGCCGTGACTAACCTCCTGTAGGACTGAGATGTAATCACAATTGATTGATCACTGGGTGGTGATCAATCTCATGCACCAGTTCCCTCAAGATTACAGGTACACCTTGCTGACGAGTGCCAAGTAGCACGAAACCCGGGTCCAGGGTTTCCTGTTGACTACCTCCAACCACCATCTAATCTCAATACATAGTGCCCGCAGTGTCGAGTCACCTAGACTGGTGGCCACAGTGCAACATGATCGATATCATTCGATCTGCACTAATAAGGACTAGACAAGCATGAGATTGATCACCACCCAGTGATCAATCAATTGTGACATACTGTTTAACTCAATTTTAAGGTTAATTGATGGAATGTTATTTTTCCATTGTCATATCATAGGCAGTTTTTAAAGTGAAATAATGAATATTTTTCAAAAGTCAAATCTTTTTCATATGAGTTGGGAATTTAGTATAGAAAAATACTAATGCGCTTTTCACCTGTCAGTCAAGAGTAGAAGTAAAAGTAAACATTTAGCAATTAAATTTAAGTGTGAAGAGCTGCTTCAACAAAAGAGATGATATTAGTAGAAATGTATTGAAAAACTGCATTAGCATACCAATAAACATGTTTCTTTAGCTTCGCATCTGTTTGTTATAATAAGATAAATCTAATTAGATGCCCTGCAAGTAGAGTTGAAAAGAAATGCCCAGACGACACTATAAACAAAGAACTAGAGTTTATGGACAATATGTCGAGTGAAATAAGTTTATGGTGTCGTTTGGGCATTTTTCTCGAGCTTTACTTACTTATACTAAGCTTTCTCTATAGAGCTATCAAGTAAAAACTGACAGTGCTACGTAAAAGTAAACTGAATACTATACTAATTTTAATATTGGAAGTATTATAATAAGTAGTCTGATTAGAGGCATACAGCAGAATTACTACTGTTACTGATTTCCTAAACAGAAAAAGAAAATAGTTGAACAACTAGATAGTGTAAGATCAAAAACTCGTTTTTTTCATATTAATGAAAAAACCGATTAGCATCGAGCAGAAACAATATTATTCGAAACGAAACAATGAAATTCGCCGAATAGAAATGTAAAAGATAATCTTCGAAATCAAGATCTAGAGAGACAAAAAGTGAATAGACGTGTACTGCTGAAAGTGATTCTCAGCCATGTCACCCAACCTCTCTAATCATCGATTACTTGTAAACTGTAGTCAAATGTTAATAAAAGTCAGTGATTACAGTAAATTCAATTATTTTAGGGATAAATGAAAAACAATACCTTTTTAAATCAAATAAAAGATTTCCTGAGTCAGCACACCACAGTTGGATAATCCTCGAATGATATGATTTAATGCGTATATATGACCGAACAGAAGTCACTGCTAGTAGCCCATGAGACAAACATCCCCATTTTTATCTTTATAATATACTTGACCACATGCTACAGTCCATTCAGGTGACAATAAACAATCATGCTGATCATAGTCTGAATCCATTGAATCTGTTGTTGTCACATTATTTACAAGATCTATAGTCAGTGGTAGAACACGTATTATTGGTTCACGTTTGGTGGAATTTGATGACCTATAAAAATAATAATAATAATTTTGTAGACCAGACAATATAAACGATAGAGAAGGTAGTGGTGATGACAGAAAAACAGTCAATTAAGTTTACATTGAATATCCCGTAAAGATAGTTGATATGCGCAATAATAAAACAAAATTTTATTACTAAACTAGAGATAAAAGTTAAGTAAATAAATGATAGGCTACGGGTGGAAGATGAACTGTTTCCAGATTCCTACACATCTTTGTATTAAAATCATAGATAATACTTTAGAATTTAGTGCATTTACGGTGAAACCTAATGTTCTTATAATAATAATTTATATCTTCTGAAAATAATAATTACAGAATTCACGCCAGTTTACAGGCGTGTTCAATTTGATATAAATAGTAACATTAGATGTACAGAACAAACATGTGATAGAAGAAAGTCTTAAGTATACTAGTTCAGTAATTGTTTAGGTAGTACATGTAATACAGCAATCCAATGCATCAGCCGGGAATTTTCAATTTTTCTTAAATGGACAGCCTGTTGATTTATGAACGGTGTAATTAGGGTCATTTCGTGTGTCAGATCGAATTAATGATAATTATCTACAACTAGGGAAATTAAAAGAAAAACAGGGAGCACGAAACAACAAAGCAGTAATTACCAAAATATGTCAATCAGGTCTACCAAAATGCGTGTGTCATGTGACACAGTGATATACTGTTGATGTTATTTAAATTAGTTAAAGTTTCTGGGGACGGGGTTACCATAAAGTGACAGCAAGTAGGTGGTTTTACTTAGGGAATTCACTAATAAAAAATGGCTAAACATTTAAAGTTCCTATAATACTACTTGTGGAATGAGATACACTTATAGGTGCTAGACCATTCAATGCACTTTCAGAGGAGCAGTATGCATCGATGCAGCGAACAAATAATGGGAGTGATTTTATCGTGCGGATAGATTGTGGTAGGTTATTCCAGAGTCTAGAAAATTTACAGGTGAAGTAATTCATATAAAGAGATGATTTAGAATGAGTTTGTTTCACTAGTGCCAAGGAATTACGGATGTCATAATGAGAAGTTTCTGCATATTGAATCGCGTGATTGGATGTAAACGATAGTTTATGAAGTAGTTTGAAGAAAAAGATAAGATTTAGTTTGAGTCTCCTCCTCCATAAAGGGTCTAGCCCAAGTTTATTACATCTAGAATTATAAGTTAAGGTACAATCAGCTCCAAGAATACGAAGTGTAAATCGTCTCTGTACTGATTCCAGCCTTAATTTATCCTTTATGCGCGCACTGCTAAGAATAAACGTGCAATATTCTAGAAGAGGTCGAGCACAAACTTTGTACATTAGAATACGTGACTCAGTGTTGTAAAGATTTCGAGTTATGTAACCTATTAGACGTTGAGACTTAGAGGTCTGTTTTAATATATGTTCTGTAAACGACAAGTCTTGGGAATATCTAAGTCCTAAGTCTACTACTGTATGTAACCTAGATAACACTTCTCCATTTATGGTAATGTCTAGGTTGAGTGATGTATCGCCGAAGCATATCCATCCACATTTAGCCGTATTAAGCTCCAGTTGCCATTTTAAGCACCACTGTGTTACCTTGTTAAGCTCCATGCTGATGCAATTTTGCATATTTTTCAGCTCATGTGGAGAAAATGAATATACTACTTTAAGATCATCTGCATATAGAAGGGGCTTACCGACACAAAAACTTTCACAAATATCATTGATAAACACTAAAAAGAGCAAAGGACCTAAGACACTACCTTGTATTACACCACTTCTAACAGGGACAGCGTTAGACAATGAAGAGTTAATTTTAACTATTTGGTATCGATTGCTGAGAAAGGAATCAAGCCAAGCAAGCAAAGGATTTTGAACCCCATAAGATGCGAGCTTACCTATAAGAAGTTGGTGGCTAACCATGTCAAAGGCTTTAGAAATGTCCAGATATAGCACTAAGACTAGATATCCTTGGCTACGTAGAGAATAGACTAAATTAAAGAAGTCAAAATGACATGTCATGCAAGAACGATTTTTAAGAAATCCATGTTGAGTATCATTGATAAATTTTCCAGCAAGTAAATAGTTGGAAAGTTCATCACTTATAATTTTTTCCATAATCCTAGAAATAACTGGAGTAATATTTATTGGCCGGTAATTGTTCATGTCAGTCTTATCTCCAGATTTGTAACGTGGTATGATGTACGCGGTTTTCCAACAGTAAGGGTAAGAACCGGTTTCCATAGAGAGAGTAAACAGCTTTGAGAAGAAGTGGAATATCTGGACCACCATATTTGTAGAGAAATGATGAAATCCCGTCTACTCCATGACCTTTCGAAAGCTTAAGGGTATTTATAGCCTTATTAATTTTCATGCATGTGAAGGAGATAGATTTTATTGAGTTGCTAGTCACGCACATAACTCTTGAAGCATAGCCACTTATGTTTTCTACACCATTCGCAAAATACTACTGAAAAGGTCGGCCATGGTTTTAGAGTCGTATATAAAAGTGCTATTATGCTGGATGCACGGTATATCAACATTTCGAGTTGCTTTAGTGCGTTTATTGAAAAGGAGAGTTAAGTTTTGTACTTTCGAGTTAGTATTAAAGGCTAGTAGCTCCTCATTAATGGCTTTTAACCTATGTTTCTCTTTAATTTGATTAAAAATTATTGTTATTTGTGCAACTGCTGTGAAGTCGTTTGACTTAAAATAACGATTCTGTAGGCGTTTTAGTTTATTACGATATTTAGCTGGTATATATAATTCGTAAGGTTTACTAAACCTGTACGTTTTAAGAGGTACACTGGAATCTAAACAAGAGTTAATGATCAGATAGAATTCGTCGATAGCATCCATGAGACTATTACATGAAAAAAAGTTATCCCAGTCTGAAAGTTTAATCAATGAATGCAGGAGGTCCCAGTCAGCATGCTTATAGTCTCTATATTGACAGGTTTTTTGAATGGGTGGGTTATTAGAGAGATAGATAGGGAGAGCGCAAACTACTATCTTATGGTCACTGCTTTCAAATTCATCATACACTTTTACAGATAGTGGGATAACATCTCTACTAAATATTAGATCGAGTATACTATCGCCTCTAGTTGGGGCACGAACCCACTGTGACCAGCAGTGCATGTTAATGGTTGCCGAGAACTCATCATTACATGACTGACAACTACCGGTACTCCAGTTGATCCCAGGATAATTGAAATCCCCAGTGATAACCTTAGCATTAAAGTTTAGAGAGATGCATGTATGAATGCATTGATAATAAGATCATTCCCACTATTCGGACTATCAGGAGCTCTGTATATACATCCAAGTAGTAGACTATGATTCAGGGTGTTGACTGATATCCAGACTGATTCTGGTAAACTATTCAGGACACTATCTTCAACTTTATTAGTTGTTAGGGTATCCAAAGCATATATAATACAACCACCTCCTCGCTTAGTTTCTCTGTCGCAGCGATAGAGTCGATAGTTCTGGATATTTAATTCTGAATTAGATACTGCTTGAGAGCACCATGTTTCAGTGATAAGTATGAAAGAAGGCTTGGCTAGAAAAGCTAATGTTTTCAAGGCTGAAATTTTGTTCAGAAGTGAACGTGCATTGATAAGTAATAAGTTTAAAAAGGGAGTATGGAGTGTAAAAAAACCGAGAGCTTCCCTATTGATGTTGTGTAGTTTGGATTTGCATAGACTGTGGTTTGTTATGTTTGACTGATCACATGGGCTATCGCTTGAACAAACTGTATTGCTAGTGGGACCAGGGATTTCTGAAGGCCAAAAAATCATTATTTTGATAAAGTGGATTAATTTGTTGAACTTGACTAGGCGGACAGTTAAGACAGGCACCTGCTAGTTGGAGTTGGGTTGATGGTGAGTAGCCTAGTAGTCCATCTTGCCCAAAGGGAAAGTGTTGAGAAAAGTTACGTCGTACAGGTTTATTATTTAAAACGTTTGAGGGTAACCGTGGGGCACGTTGGTTCACTGCGGTCTGTCTAATATTAGACCTGCTTACACAATGATTGTAGTGGCCGTCTTGTGAGACATTTGAATCAAGTGTGCCCTTATAAACTCCCCTACGATGCGTAGGGTAAAGCATGGTGTCGGGAAGTACATTCTTATTTTCATTTGGTAGGGCCATCGTAATATTTTTGTTATTGGGTCATGAACCAGAAGATCCTGTACATACATTCTTCTTACGTGGCATAGACTTTTTAATCTTGAGTGTTTTTAAGAGCTGTCGCATTAGAACTAAGTATTTGCTTATGGGCTTCTAATGGTAAACTGGAAAATATCGGATTAGTGTCGTCATTAGATGTACAATGGTTATCAGATGTCACTACAGGCATAATAAGCAAATTAGCACTCTTCGTTGGTAAATCAGAGTACTGGATAACATGAGATAGGGTAGCTGCATCAGTGGATCCAGCACCTGATGCATCGTCATTTATTATGATCTCAACACCTTTATTTTCGTTCAAGGTACGTTTTTGCGTAAGTCTTTGATTGGTGGTCTTATCTGAGACTATACGAGCGTTTCTAAACTTCGTAAGCGCGCAGATTAGCCGCTCGGATTCTTTTAACTGTTCAGCTAATATATGAGAATCGAATATGAACAAGACCGGGCACGAGTATTTCTGGTGCTTTTTATTAAGTCGAATGCATTGGCATGGACTGTCTTGAAGGTTAGATGCTTTTAATATCGAATTCCTTACAGTTTTAATGGGGATTTTGTCAGGTATATTATAGATAATCACGTTATTACGAGAGGTTAGGTAGGTTAATTCGCAATATTATCTAGACTTGATATAGTGTACGGGAAAAAAATAATAAAAAAAGTGATTACTTGAGAAAATCCAAATCTACTGATGCGCAGAACTTTCATAGTTTATGGACGATAACAAAAATTAACATGATAGCACAATTTCACCGTGTATAACGATAATAAATTTATTAAAAGAAAATATTTCTATAATTATTACTCATATAATGTGATACTAGGTAGCAAATGACTGGAAAAAAACCCAAAGTTAATACACATAAAAAGTTCAAAGTGAAGCGCAGTTCCATTTTAGAGAAAATAGAATTTTATTTGGAATTAGATAAAATATTAGCTTATCATATTATTCAATTGGATACGAACAAAATAGATCAACATAACAAAATATCGAAGAAAAAACGACAATCAATAGATCAATGATTAACAACAAGCTTTAATTCATTACGGTTTCCTTTACCGATATAAATTGGTACTCTGAAGATAAGTATTTTGACATACTGTACTTAATTTAAAAAAGCCATTTCTGATACAATGTTAAGCAAGAATAAACTATACATTCATAAAAGTTGGTCATTCTGTCTGACAGACTAACTCGATCACATAACTAAACAATAGAAGGGTTAGTTGGTTTGTTAAAATGGAAAAGCATGCGTAATGTCTTCATTGGGAACCAACATGTTAACCTAGCAATTCAGAATTTTATATAAATGACAAGCATAGTTTCATATATGATATAATCTCACAGAATTTATACCGAAAATTACCATTAACTAACCTGGACTGTAAGCAAATCATTCCTAAACAAGTCAATAATAAGACCAGACTACAACCCAACAAACTAGTGCCCAGCATAGATGCAGTTAAACCAAGTCGTGCAGTCCAACCAGTAAAACCCCCAGGTGATGTCGATGATGCATGTAAACGTTTTCTTTCTACATTTGATATAAGTATATTATTATCATCATTTATAAAGTGTAAATGATTATGTTCATCCAATGTACGTTCATTTTCAAACGATACATACGATATAGATTCTTTTCTATTTCAAAGCAAGAAAATAAGATGAATAATTGAATAGAATATATGATGAAGTTAGATAACAAATTTAAAACTATTGTGATGAAATACAAGCTTATAAAACAGAAGAAATAATATCAACTACGTGTTACTTACACAATGAAACAATAAAACATTATATATACACAAAACGTCAAAAACTTTCGAAATAGTAATAATATTATTAGTTTAAGTATGGAAGATGATCTCTACATATTATACCTATCTCTCAATAATAAAATATTTAAGCAAAAGACTTTAGTGGCCCGATATCTGACTCCAGTTATATCGAACAAATGATCATTATTTAATGATTGCTGTCAAAATGTACAGCCTGGCTATCCTTGTATATAATTATCGACTTAACTCGCGTTAGTGAACAACAGAATTAAAATAAGTCACATGCAAAAAAGGATTTCGAATATTTATATTTTGTACAACCATTAATCCAGGCAGACGACCAAAGGAACGAAGCGAAATGAAATGATGCGCGGTGGAGAAGGAATATGAGCCAACTCAATTTAATTAGGTGTGAATCAATATTTATAGTCACACAAAAATAAGTTACAGACATGTGATGAATAAAATAAAAAGTGCACACATACATACGCTCATATAAAAACAGTCAAGGTTGATGAGTGAATAATTAACAAACTGAAAATGCGACTCAAGAATGGGTAAATTGGCATGTCCAATGGTGCACATGGGATCCGGTTACTATGTTAAGCCCATGTAACTTATTCTAGCTTCTGGACATGCCGATTTACCCATTCTTGAGTCGCGTTTTCACTCTCGGTATGACCGAGAGTGGGGTGTACCCGCCTTCCCTCTCGAAACGCTCTCACATGGCCACGTGTATATAGCCTCTGTCAGAGAAGTCCTACTCACTGCCTTCTCGTGGCATTACTGTTGTTTACGAAAATGAGAGGACGAATAGCAAGTGTCCGGTGCTTTAACCGGATCCCAAACCAATGGTGCACATGGGCTCCAGTATCCTGAGGGAACAAGTGGCGTATGAAACAATCGTTGGTCACCGGCTACCATGGGAATGCATCTTCTCACGATGCTTCACTGCCTTGTGGATTAGAACTTTAAGTCAAAGGCTCGGGGTGTGGCCCTCTAAGGAAGCCACCCGCTTCGGTCTGGGCACCCGGGGAGTATCACAGCCCACACACACAAATATAGTGTGGCGCATATATATTTGGTGCCCTCTTGTACCAATATTTATGTGTTGAAATAATTAAATAATAAATAAATAACATAGTAACCGACACTATAAGACTAAATATTCACAACTCTAATTGGTCATCTGATCGTCAGACGAATCTTTTCTAGATTTATCGGTCATGAGAAGTCATCATCATAAAGTCAGTGGAGTGGTGAATCAGCGAAATTGATGGTGATATGGTTCAGCTACTGATGAGACTGTTTAACGATTTGTTCAGTGAAGAGTTCGCTTTTCAGAAAATTCATTCACAAAGCTATACAGTCGCAAATATATACTTTCTCCTCTACAATGAAAATCAATTATATGGTTTTAAAAACTTTAGGGATCAAGTAAGTGATATTCATTATTATTAAACATTTGTATTCTCTAATGAGTAGAAAACGCAAATCAAATTGTTTTCACTAACGTTCACCTATTAATTGCTAATGGCTTTATCAAACTAATAGTTGCCTTATGCTCATCATAATTATGACGTTGTTTGTTACTTTAAAACAGAATATTCATACACCTGAATACTAAATAATCAAGAGAATGTTCATATAAAAATAACATGGAATGGTACTTTTACAAACTGTTTTGTAGAAATATTTTAATTAGTAATTTCCTACACAGTCTACAAAGACAATCACTCAAAGCTACGGTTTACACAAATACAAAAAATCATCCAGATTACTTGTTACCCAATAATGGAGATGAGCGTTCATAATTTCTAGGGACCTCCATTTTAATGTAGGTGGAAATATGTTTGATATATATCCACATATAGGAAGTTTGAAACGATGGATATTTTCATCTTTTGTGGATGATTTTAGTATTGTTGAGTTTTATAAAGTAGACTGTTTAACTAAAGAACTTTGATTGTCGATCTGAACAGTGCCTGCTTCGCCGTGATATCCAGGGCGACGATTAAACTTCCTCAATTAATTATTTAGGTCATAGAACCAAACAACAAAAAATATATGTTACTTGAACAGATGATAAAATAAACAACTTACTGATCAGATTGTATATCAAACTTTTCAATTCCTTGATCTGGATCAATCATATGAAGCTTATACTTTAAATGAACTGGTTCTAACAATGCTAAATGACAACCGACCAAACTTAAATTATAGTGTTTTGCTAATGATGGCCAGTACGAATAAGCTAAATAATTCCAAATAAACATTGTGTTCCAAGTGAAATTGTTTTGTGTCATTTCATTCAATTGTAAATGATGAACAATATTGAGCATATTTATTTGAGATTTAATATCATCATCAACACCAACATTGAATTGAATTGAGATATCACGTTCATGAAGAAAATGATGATCATCATGAAGATCTATTTCATGTTGATCCAAAGAAACATTCATATGTTCACCAACAGAATCTTCTTGATCGACCATGCTAACATTTTTAATATTGAACAAATTTTCTTGGGAATCAGATTGAATAGATGAATTCACAAAAGATGATGAGGAAAAAACAGATGAATTCATAAAGGGAGGTTCACTGACAGAGAGCGGTATATAGTGACCATTCATATCACTACTATTAACAACAGTAGTAGTAATAGTATTATAATGATCATTATCACTGGTATACGAAGATAATGTGAACCAACTGTGTGACGTAGAAGACTGTAATAGTAAACTACTTATGTAGACATAGATATTGAGAAATAACTGGACTATATCCACAGCATGTATCAGAATCATAATAACCCATACAGAGAAAACAAACTAGAATGAACAATAACAACAAAATAAAGTTAATCAAAAAGAAAAAAACATATTTTTCTAACAGTTTAGTTGAAAGGGATCTGTAGAGAACGACTTAGGTTTTAGTCATCACAGACTGACTACAGTTAGCGCGTGGTGTACGCTATTTATGTTGTCAGATACAAGTAGTGTGTAGCAGCAGTCGGATGTGGAATATCTTGCAGCAGAAAATTGAAGTAAAGAGAACAGAAAAGAAATCGGGAAGTAATCGGAACAACAGAATCCGAAGAATAATAGAGTATCGTACAGTACAATGCAAAGATTTTCAAATGATGTATTTGATGTGTGATTTTCAGATTTTACTGAGCCAACGTGTGATTTTGCATTTAACAACTAAGTCCTCGTTCATTATAAGGGTATTATTGTGCCCAGCGCTCTTTAGGTTTTAAGTGATACCGTAACTGAGATCAATGTGTAACGACTACAACCTGCATCGTTCTTGATAATTTATGACTAATAATAAATAGCTAATGGTGAAGATTGCTTTTTTTAAAAGAGAAAAACGAATAGCCATGATATAAAACCCTTCATGTATATGATGAAGTACCTAAAATATTATAGTGAACAAAATTAGGAAGTGAGCGTGTTAAAAAAAATAAACAAAAATTCGGTAAAGTATAGAAAACAACATTCATTTATGAAGAAAACTACAACTTACTAGGGGGAAAAGGTAATACAAAGCAAGGGCCTATGGAAATGTGTTATATATACCTCAATGAATAATATAAAAGAACTTGATAGGACAGTGAAAATTGAAGACAAACAACAGTACAGGCTTTTGCGGAGACTATAGGATTTTATTAGTCTTTAAATCACGAGTTGGTATTAACTAGATTACCACGGAAAACTGGGAATCACCAGACAGCCGTTTAGTCCTAATATTGTGATCCTCAAAAGTGAGCATTCACAAACGTGATTTCCAATGGTGGTCTGTCTAAAATAAGTTCGTGATTTATAGAATATGAAGATTCTATCATCACCAAAACCTTAAAACTGACAACAATCATATCCTCACTAGTAACTATCTTCAAGATGAGATTCTTGAAGTTAAAGTGGGAGGCTGTGATCAGTGGAGTACAATCATGTCAGGTGTAAGACATTTATTCACCGCAGTCACGCAATATCATGAAGCGATTGAAGTTGGACAATAAAATCGTTGAATGCCCGTTCCGTTGTTTTTAAGTTTAGGCATTCGAGAGACCAAAGGTTTTGGGTTTGATTCCCTGAGGCAGGGTTGTGGATGCACACTGCTGAGCAGTCCCATACTATGACAAAACGGCTGTCTAATACGTCTCAGTTTCTAATGGTGATTTAGATAAGATCATTTCGTGATTTAAACCCTATGACAATATAGTGTGCACAAAACTGAATGGAAAAAGATGAAACACGAATATGAATGCTACGCCAATAAACAGAGGGAATAGATGGAAATTTTCGATTAACACCGCAAATGAACATCTACAAAAAAAGTAACGCCCAAGACTCGGCTGAAATTACTAGGTATCCTAAGAATCAAATCTTCTACTATTGTTTTCCTATAACAATCTCATAGGTTAACAGAGACATTATTTCCCAATGCCGCCTGGAAATAGCCGTTGACTTATTTAACCTTCAAATGACTAAATTCATATTACGTCTACGCTCTATGGAAAATAACTACCCGAAATCGGATTGTGAGGATACATGTATCCCTTCTGAAACAATTTAAATTCTCTTCGAGAAGTTAACGATCAACAATCGATCACCAAACTGATTAACTGATCAACAAACCATGTGCGAAACTAATTTACGACATCAAAAAACACATTCCGTTGATGGACAATTTAAGAATTAATCCAGCAATAAAAATAGAGTGGTGTGAATATAAACATTTGTCAGTGATCAATGGTTACCAGTGTGTCACCCAAAAACACACTGGTCGTAGATACACTGCTTAATGTCGCCTGTTAATTGACACCGAGATCATAACAATCACCGCGACATTTACAGGCATTGTAACACTATAACAATTAAACACCTATTTAAACTACGTGAACAATGAAATTATTTTACTGGAATCACATCGAAAAGTTAAGCACGTAAAAATTTCGGAAGGTTATCATCCACATTGTTCAGTTCGATAAATATGTTGAGTCGGCTTCCGGAGAACTTCAACGGAGCCTCCAGAGGCCCAAAAGGAGCCGAAGGGTCCTAGCCAGAGCATGACGGAACGCCCTAGAAATCCAACGCGGCGTGCTACTATTGGTCGGTAGCATAATATGTCATTAACGGATTGGCTGGAATATGTTGATTTAACAGACGCCAACATCTATAAATACCTATGATTTTCTGTACAAAAATGAACCTTGGGATGAAGTATTTTCTCTCATACTTGTGTCTTCTCTCTGCTGTTCAAGTCGCTGTGTAGTTCTAGACTGCGGGTTACCAGAATAGCTTAGGAAAAGGAATATAGCGTTCGATCGACAAGACTTATCAAAATAAAACACAAGACAGGCATTACTCTCGCTTACATCTATTTAATGACCCTCACCTCATAAACTCACAACCACAACAAAGTACTGATTAGTTATTTGCTACAACAATTCCAGTCACATAGTGGGGTATGCTACTTATGTTGACAGATATAAGTAGTATGTAGTACTAATCGGAAGTTGAACGAATACTAACAGAAGATTGAAAAGATTCAATTGAAGAGGACAGAAAAGGAAACAGAAAGTAATCGCAATAACAACAGAATTGAAGAAATTATGAAGCCTGTAAAGGACAACTTAAGGAAAATGTGCAAATCATGTATTTAATGTATGGTTCTCGTATTTTCATACAGCACTCAGTAATTTTTCATCAAAAAATAAAAGGTTATCCCCACAAAGACTTCGTTCACTACAACACGGCAATACTGTTCAGACGGCTTCAGAGGAATACACCCATTAACACATTTTAAAAAAAAGATTAATTCAGCGAATAGTTCTCTTTTCGGCGAATTCATTTTCAAAGCTTTACAATCGCAAATATATATACTTATTTTTACAGGATGATAATAATACTGATAATAAAGTTGTTATACATGGTGACAGTGAGGTTAAATAAACAGAGGTATTAAAAAAATAAAAAAAATCTTTTAAAACAAGCAAAGTTTAATAATCGTTTGATTGTTATTGGCTTAGGTATTCATCAAAAGACAGATAGGTAAATTATCATTGGGAAAGGATGTCTCAGCATGATAAAATACAATGTTGAAACAGAGATGAAATGTAACCGGAATGGTCGTGGAAACAAGAACAAACCAGTTGGGAGTGGAAGATTTAAAGGAAAGATGGAAGGTGAAGCAGATGACTGTAAAGGAACAAGAGTATGAAAAAGAGAAAAAATTTTAATACATTAAGACCATGGTAGGAGAAGAGGTTGTACCAGTTTCTTTTGCACACACAATTCTGGTTTTTCCAGATGTATGGCTATTGCTTCGGCAATCCAGAGAAGATGCAGTCTAATTGGTCTTAGGAAGACTTCTACTTACCTTGTAGATGACTTTGAACGCAGAGTCTGTCTTGGTTGAATGACCTGTGTTCACAAGGTGTTCAATTATTGATAAGTCTTGCAGATTGAACGCTATATTCATCTCCTAAGCTATTCTGTAACCCCCAAGCTAGAACTATACAGCGGCCTGAACACGAGGGAGAAGACTCAAAGTATGCGAGAAGTAGTTTGCTCCAAGGTTCATTTTAATACAGAAAATACAGGGTTTTTATAATATTTTAAATGTCCTTGGGTTGCTAGAAGATTCTGGAATGCTACTAAACATAGTAGCAGTGTAGCAGCCAACCAATCAGAGCTTCAGCATGTGACGTTTCGCTTCCTTGATATTTTTGGCTAAGACTTCAAGTGAACGCTGATTGGATGAAACGCTTCTTAGTGTTTCCTGATGCTTGCTTGTCTTTTGCAAGCAATTTTCTGGATCACCCCAACAATTATAGAACTTCTTATTGAGCCGTTGCCTCCTCTTTTTAGCCACGCTGGATAATGTTCTTGAATTCTTTTGGATAAAGTACGCATCGAACAACCTATATACCTAGCTCCACACGAGCAGGTAAATTGGTAAATGCACATTGAGTTGGTCAGATGCGATAATTTATCTTTCAGATTATTGGTGAACAATGATCGGCTGGAGAATAATATTCGCAATATTGCTGCGAAGAATGTTCTTTTTAAGGAATCAGAAATTCTCCTCTTTAAGATATATGTGGCTCTATCCCCTTTGAAGTTGATGTTCGCGTATAAAGTTTTCTTTTCTACTGTAATTATTTGTGTTTTTGGCTTCATATTCTTATCAATGAATATCGAAGGATACCCGTTTTTGATAAGTATCTCCTTTAAAAGGCCCAATTCCTCATCTACGACCTCGGGGCTACAGATTCTTTGTATTCTTGTAGCGAGTGTTATTATTAGGTTTCTTTTTCGGCTGATGGGAACCCAGCTGTGGAAATTTGATAGTTGGCCATTCCACATGGGTTTCCTGTAGATAGATCTTTTAAAGTACCGTCTTGCTTTCTTGTCATTTCCACACCAAGAAAGTGAATATTTTGTTTGTTTTCAACTTCTAATGTGAATTTTATTGATGGGTGGGAATTATTAAATGTCTTCAGAAGATGACTTAAGTCATATTTGTTGTTACAAACGATAAAGATATCATCTACATATCTTTTATACAAGTGAAGTTTTTCTATAGTCGCTTTCAGTTGATTGTTTTCTAAACTTGCCATGAAACAATCTTCAAGTAACGGACCCAGAGGGGATCCCATTGCTATACCGTCCTTCGGTCTATAAATTACGTCATTGAACATAAACTGTACACTGCAAGTGAATGTGTTACCACAGTTATCGACAAACGCACGAAAAATTTAATATCGGACCTCACTAAAAGTTTAAAAACCACAGAAACACAGCACAAATTTCCTAGCAATCCAGAAAGATATATGTTTAATCATTCTTCAATATCCTTAACAAATGTACAATTAGAAGCCTTATCTTTAGGGATAAAATTCTGTGACATAAATTGAAAAATTAAAAAAAGCAACACACATGTTCAATTCGAAAACTAATCAAACAAACAAATGGTCTTAGTCCCGTCTCTGATCAAGAATTCCAACGTTTCGAATCTACTCTTCGCGATAGCTGCAACCAATATATTAACACAAAAGTAACAGGCAAAAGTCTTCTAACGAAAGAACATAGAAATCAGATAAAACTACTTAGAAATAATAAAGACTTGATTATAACACGTCCAGATAAAGGTGCTGGTTTAGTACTGCTTGATCGCAAGATTTGTTGAAAAAATGACGTTATTATCAGATGACACCAAATTCTCAAAACCAATCAATGAAAAAAACAAGACTGAGATTATAGAAAAGCAACTGATTGAAGCTAATCAAAGAACAGGTCTTTGAGAGCAAAAAACCAACAGCATCAATAATACCACGATTGTATGGTCTGCCAAAAAATAGACAAACCTGGCCTATCTCTTAGACCAATTCTCGATATGTCAGGATCCCCTTACCACTCTATAGCAAAAGGGCTGGCAAATCTCTTAGAACCCGTTAGAAAACGCATTTGTAAACATTCCGTACGTGATACTTTTGAATTTATCGAGCACATAAAAGAAGTGAATGTAAGTGATAAAATTATGCTATCTCTGGATGTCGAATCATTATTCACTAATGTTCCACTCACAGAGACCATTAATTTTATCTGCAAGTACATAAGTAATAAGGAGATAAACATTGGGATACCGGATGTTTATTTGAAGGAACTATTACTGCGGTGCACTTGCAGTGTACAGTTTATGTTCAATGACGTAATTTATAGACCGAAGGACGGTATAGCAATGGGATCCCCTCTGGGTCCGTTACTTGAAGATTGTTTCATGGCAAGTTTAGAAAACAATCAACTGAAAGCGACTATAGAAAAACTTCACTTGTATAAAAGATATGTAGATGATATCTTTATCGTTTGTAACAACAAATATGACTTAAGTCATCTTCTGAAGACATTTAATAATTCCCACCCATCAATAAAATTCACATTAGAAGTTGAAAACAAACAAAATATTCACTTTCTTGGTGTGGAAATGACAAGAAAGCAAGACGGTACTTTAAAAAGATCTATCTACAGGAAACCCATGTGGAATGGCCAACTATCAAATTTCCACAGCTGGGTTCCCATCAGCCGAAAAAGAAACCTAATAATAACACTCGCTACAAGAATACAAAGAATCTGTAGCCCCGAGGTCGTAGATGAGGAATTGGGCCTTTTAAAGGAGATACTTATCAAAAACGGGTATCCTTCGATATTCATTGATAAGAATATGAAGCCAAAAACACAAATAATTACAGTAGAAAAGAAAACTTTATACGCGAACATCAACTTCAAAGGGGATAGAGCCACATATATCTTAAAGAGGAGAATTTCTGATTCCTTAAAAAGAACATTCTTCGCAGCAATATTGCGAATATTATTCTCCAGCCGATCATTGTTCACCAATAATCTGAAAGATAAATTATCGCATCTGACCAACTCAATGTGCATTTACCAATTTACCTGCTCGTGTGGAGCTAGGTATATAGGTTGTTCGATGCGTACTTTATCCAAAAGAATTCAAGAACATTATCCAGCGTGGCTAAAAAGAGGAGGCAACGGCTCAATAAGAAGTTCTATAATTGTTGGGGTGATCCAGAAAATTGCTTGCAAAAGACAAGCAAGCATCAGGAAACACTAAGAAGCGTTTCATCCAATCAGCGTTCACTTGAAGTCTTAGCCAAAAATATCAAGGAAGCGAAACGTCACATGCTGAAGCTCTGATTGGTTGGCTGCTACACTGCTACTATGTTTAGTAGCATTCCAGAATCTTCTAGCAACCCAAGGACATTTAAAATATTATAAAAACCCTGTATTTTCTGTATTAAAATGAACCTTGGAGCAAACTACTTCTCGCATACTTTGAGTCTTCTCCCTCGTGTTCAGGCCGCTGTATAGTTCTAGCTTGGGGGTTACAGAATAGCTTAGGAGATGAATATAGCGTTCAATCTGCAAGACTTATCAATAATTGAACACCTTGTGAACACAGGTCATTCAACCAAGACAGACTCTGCGTTCAAAGTCATCTACAAGGTAAGTAGAAGTCTTCCTAAGACCAATTAGACTGCATCTTCTCTGGATTGCCGAAGCAATAGCCATACATCTGGAAAAACCAGAATTGTGTGTGCAAAAGAAACTGGTACAACCTCTTCTCCTACCATGGTCTTAATGTATTAAAATTTTTTCTCTTTTTCATACTCTTGTTCCTTTACAGTCATCTGCTTCACCTTCCATCTTTCCTTTAAATCTTCCACTCCCAACTGGTTTGTTCTTGTTTCCACGACCATTCCGGTTACATTTCATCTCTGTTTCAACATTGTATTTTATCATGCTGAGACATCCTTTCCCAATGATAATTTACCTATCTGTCTTTTGATGAATACCTAAGCCAATAACAATCAAACGATTATTAAACTTTGCTTGTTTTAAAAGATTTTTTTTATTTTTTTAATACCTCTGTTTATTTAACCTCACTGTCACCATGTATAACAACTTTATTATCAGTATTATTATCATCCTGTAAAAATAAGTATATATATTTGCGATTGTAAAGCTTTGAAAATGAATTCGCCGAAAAGAGAACTCCAGTGAACTAATCCTTCTGTTTTAAAGTTACAGAGGAGTTCTCAATTCGCACAGTATATTATAGTAATATTAACTATGATTAAATTGTTTTACATATTCACTTGTTCAACGTACCAGAAGAACACGTTGTATGAGTCGAGATTTCGCCCAACAACGAAGAACGCGTAATCGTCGTGGAACATTTTGCGATATCTGACCATCAGAAGCTAAGTATGCAGCTGTTTGTGCAGCTTATCCGATGAAAATAAAGAGAAATTTGTATTTACATGGGGATTAGACAAGAATAATAACAAATGAATTATTATTTCTGTTTATATTTATGACATAAATACTACAGTAATTAAATGAATATCACAGTGAGTTAAAAAGCGTTTGCGAAGGCTTTGATGAAAATTGTGGAGCGAAATATTTTATTGCCTACACTCGAACTGACGGTCAACTGTAAGTGGTGAATAATGAACTTAGATCTAACACGAAGTAGACTAATCAAGACATAGTATTTCTCATAGGACTGTACTAACTTTTTTATTCTCCATAATAGACATAAGACTAAAATGAATTGGAATATAAAGCATAGTCATATCAATGTTAGGGTTGTTAAAATTACGAGAAATAGTGATAATATACGTGATCACAATTATGAAAATATTGGCAAGTTGAATAATTCCCTACTTCTCATTTAAGCTGGTCATTATTAAAGAGTCATGTTTTCCTTTACGTATTTAACTGCTCTCTAGTTACATTTTGCCTGAAAGTAACATGCTTCTACAAGATAATGATATTTAAAGTAACGAAAACATGGATTAAAATGTTAAAAACTTCCCATAGAATATTTTAAAATAAAGAATATTTGAGCGAACAATTATTTTTAATAACTTCATCAAGCTCTGCTGTTATAAGTCCATAATTATTGTGATATTTTACCAAGGCCAAAATAAGCCATGTATTAATGAATTTCAAATGTTATGTGCTAAAAGTGGTGAACGTTTGCATCTGTTACGATATAAATACTTCAAAATTAGAAAGGTCAGAATGATTTGTAGTAGTGTCAAGTAATAACCAGTATAATAGTAATATTAAAAAGAAAATTAAAAAAATCGTATGAATAAAATGCATAGTACGAGAATTTAATCTTGTTTATCGAGATAATAATGATAATAATAAGAGTAATAACAATAACATAATAACATCGTTGTGTGAATATAGTATGCAAGGTAATTACGATAAAAAAGAATTCATGTGAATTGGGGAAGATGAATATGAAGATTAAGAAAAATATAAACACAAAAGGAATTGGGAGGGGGGAGATAAGAAGTTTATGATATCCAGTCTAGGTATCCAGTGATCCAGGGTAAACAAGGAGGCTGGATATACCTCTTCTGGACATATTAGTTTGGTTTCCTGGAGTTGATCCAGATGGCTTCAGCTATGTAGAGTAGCCGCAGTCTAGCTCTTTGAGGTAGATTCTTTGGAACTTGATATATAACAGAGAAAGCTTTATCTATTTTAAGATGATGTTCGCTATCCACCAAGTAAGAAAGAATGACACTGTTAATCGATTTAGTGACTCCTTTTCCCAACCACGCTGGTACATGTTCACGAACATGAAAGGATAAAGTACGGTCTATGTAACTATCTCCACAGGGGCAGTTGGATTGGTATACGCACATGGAGGAGCCCATCATCGGTAACCTATTCTGGATTTGTTGTGTAAGTACTAGTTTAGATGAGAGAATTATATATAAGTTGGCGGTTTAAAACGTCCTTTCAAAAGATCTTTTGAGTCGACGTGTTAAAATATCACCCGCTATGTCCCCTTAAAGGTCCAGTTTCAGATACAGGGGTTTTTTACTGACCGAGTCAGTTTCTTTTTTGTACTAGGGATTATCTGACAAAATTATCTGGGTAACCGTTATTTTGTAATGTGTTTTTTAGTGTATCTATTCCGCTATTTACATTATCTTCAGAACATAATAGTTTGATTCAGTGGCTGAGACATTTAATCAAATTTATTTTGTACTGAAGAGGTGTAAAGCTATGGAAATGGGTATACTGACCAGTCAACGTACTCTTTCTAAATATATTTCATTTTACGGAACCGTCTATCCTTCTAAAAAGTAGGACATTAGGAAAAGCTTTACTATTATCGTTCACCTCTTTGCTGTGGAATTTAATATATGGGTGGACGTTATTGAAACAGTTCAACAGCTCTTGTTTGACCACGATTAGTGTGTCATCTATGTATCGACAGTAATAATCTAACTTACTTAGGATGTCTTTCAAAGGTTGATTTTCTAGTCTAACCAGAAAAATATTAGCAAGGATCGGGCCTAAGGGTGATCCCATTGCTACCTCATCTATTTGTCTGTAAAACTCATTGTTGGACATAAAGTAGATATTCATAGTACATTTCAACAGAATCTCCTTTATTTCATTTATTGGGATCGGTATCTCTATTTTCTTTTCTAGTAATTGTTCACATATGTAATCGACGGTTTCAGCCAGTGGGATGGATGTAAATGAACAAAGATGCTATGTCTAGTGATAACATGGTTTTGGCATTTATAGTCACATATTCATAAAAATGTGCATTTCAATAAATGTGGATTGGTTGGCATATGAATTTGGATATTTCACGAACGATTATCGATGTGCACGTCAAATGTATTTCACTAGTGATAAGTGTACAAAAGTTAGTTGTCTTAATGGTTGTTTACTAAAGAAAGTACGAAACTGACTTTACTAATGAATGGGCAAATGTGGATAAGATAGTATTACTTTTGATATTAAACGATAAGAAAGTAGATGACCAGATGTTGGATATCAAATTAAAAGTTACACTAAACATGGGATAATACTGGTCACTAACCACACATTCAGGTATGAAGTAAAGTAAGCCTTGTAAGATAAGTACTTGCTTTATTGTTTCCATGATGACACTTATACTGTTGGCATTGAACAAAACTTATTGACCAAGAAATATGATGAGATCGACAAACAGGGTAATGTAATACACTGTTTGGTGTTTGTGGTATACTAAATGTTTAGAGATTATTGAAGTCATTAACATATTATAAGCTAATTTTTTGAAAAGATGTGTATTTCCTAGTAATTCAAATATACAGCACTTACCGTCGCATGTCAAGCTTCAAAGACAATTCGTTTCATTGTGACTGCTTCTTACATAACTGTATAATCTCTTTGGAAAGGATGCTGTATTTTACTTAGTAGTCAGAAGGGAAACTGTCATTTTGCAAACTATCTAAACAACTTTAAGTAAAGTTGGATATTGGCTAACAGTGGGATTCATGACGCTTGCTTCATTCTATGAGACTCGTTTAGCACATACGCCACGTGCGATTGAACAACTGCAGTTCTAAACACTAACAAGAGGAGAATACAGGCTTTTTGCAAATAGATATACAATGCCATCAAAAATATCAACCAAAACGTTATACTGGGTTAATAGATAAACAGTATGCAAACTTACCTGAAACCTGACGCCTGTGACCTTTCATAAAAGATAATCTTGTACGTCGAAAAATAGCCTTAACTGACCTAAACAACATAGAGCTTAGATTTGAAATAAATGATAATATATGAGCCAAATATTTGTTTGATATTCGAGTTTCTTTTTTATTAGACGTTTCAGTAAACGATGAGCTGGGTTTTTCAATTTTACACGATGATTCAGTCATCATCATATCTAAAGATGATGATAAAGAAGTTGAAGATGATAATGGTGAAGTAAAGGAATAAAATGGCGGAATCATTTGAGGTTCTTGCATAAATGAATGAACTGGATATTCCAACATAAGATCAGAGAGCTAGGACGTGGAAAAAGTGACAGAAATGCATGTAAAAGATGAGCAATATATGCATAATTATTATATTTCTTAGTAGTAGTGGAATTATGTGGGATAATTCTATTCCATAAATGTTACTAACGACGACTAAAAAAACTTGAACTGGTGACGACATTAAGACTTTTGGGCTATCGTTTTCTAGACAGGAAAAACATATTAAATGACTGGGATATTACTGAACTATCAATCTTGCTTCCAGCACTCGAAATTTGCGCAACTTATCAAACAGAAGTAGGACAATATGCATATGATTTGTGCTAACCACGTTACCTGTTTTTCCAGCTAATCGCTATAAATTACACCACGAACTGACCTTAATTAGACAACCGCTGGAAACCAGAAAACATCGAGCAGCAATTTTTCCTACTATGGGCCTTGCCAGCAGTGGACATCGGCAACCCGACTAGGAGTCGAACTCAGGACATTTAGTCCACTGATTAGTTATTTAAAATGACCAAACCTTTAAATTAGATGTATAGTTTTCTAACTAATTACAAAATGTGCATGATGTGTTTTATGACTCACTTGATTGAGTATTAGTGACCGTGTAACAATCTGTTGTAGTTCCCCTTTATGTCAGTAGGACATATAGCAAAGCACATACAAAGTGAAAAAGTACTACGAATGCTTCTCATTTTATTTTATTAACGATTTTGTGCCTCATTTTTACCTACTATTTACATCATACATGATTGTTCCGTCTTATTCATTCAATACACATAAATACTGGAACAACTGTGCACTAAAATATGCACCACACAAATATAAGAAATTGTAGAGACAGAGGAATGAGAATTATAGTCAAAATAAGTAAGTGAATAAAAATAAGTGAACTAGAGTAGTGTGTAACAAAAGAGACATCAGCTAAGAAAAGCCATCAGGAAGAATTTCTCCAGTTAAAGGAACTCATTACATCTTTACGAAGGATGTGAAAGAAAACTACAGTAGGATCTTCGTTGGCTTCTATTCCGAGCAATACTTCCTCATCTCTAGAGACACTGGGTTCTAACATCTCCGGGACTTCAAGAAAAGTGTCGTGATGGACCGGCATATGCTAGTTTTAAGGAGTTTCCTTTTATACTAGTGTCACGTTATAAACAAATCGCCTCTCCCCCTTGCTCACCTAGTCCCGGAATTGGAAAATACTGCATGATGTGGAAGCATTTGTAACATATTTCTCAGCCACTAAAGCTGATGTTTCAAAAAGGTGGCTCCAAGTGAGTCAATAAACAGTGTTTAAACAAACATTGCCGAAGCTCAAATAGAATCAACGACGGTTCTAAAAAAACTATTATTTAATAATGTACTTGACGTTGGAGGGGGTTTACCCAGTTAGTACTTCTTGAGAAAAATTTAAGAAATTATATGAATTACATAATAATTTCAATAAATGCTCAAATGCTTAACCTAACTTCGTTAACTTACTTCCATTCGTCGGATATCCACCGAAAGGATCGTAACAAAAAAGAATAATTGTAAAAAGAAGTCTGTAGTCAAGCCGACAACTGCAAACAAACAAAATTCTTGCATTGTAGGATGAAATGTAAGGAATCCTAGACCCAATAACAACAATCCAGTAAAGTAAAGTTTTGTATGTGACCAACTTTCTTTGCTTAAACCTATTTTTATTTTTAAAAAATAATTAGAATAATGATAGAATAAATCCAATAGAACACAAATTACATCACATGATAACACTATATTCAGAAATTTAGCTGGTGATTATTTATAAAAGCCAAAGGTTTATTGTAACAATTATTCATACACAATTCATGATACTGGAATTCGTAGTCACTAAAATGAAGTGGCCACAACACCATTCGATTGACGTTTATCAGAGAAACTGTGTTAGGGACGTTAGATCCCTAAAACTCATTTGGAAAATGTCCTAATTTTGTAATTTTATTTTGAAAATTTGAATTACTTCGTTTTCGCGCCAAAAGTGCTCTTTTTTACCTTCATGTCATATTACCCACTTGGGAGAATCTTAAACGCTATTGGTCCGTTGTGTCTTTCAGTATGCTATTTTGTAACGCTTCCCAAGGACAGTTTTGTGCTGCATATATACGTTTCGATTTGTGTCTGTTGTTATCGCTCGTGCTATTGGATTTTTGTGGAATATACTTCCCCGTACGGACTTCGACTTTTGTCTGTAGTTAGCGGGGCTAGACGCATCAGAATAGCTAGTTTATTGGTCTTTCGCCACAAGTCTTTGTTCCGTTCGCAGATTAAATGAACTCGTAATCTCTTCAAACATAGCAAACTGATAGGCAACATTTGAAGGACGATATTTGTGTGCTTTAGATGATTCTAAACTTCAAAAACTAAATTAAGTTTTTACATTATGGAGTGACCTATGTTACATAACCATTGAAAACTAGGAAGCACGGGATAGCTATTTCGTCCTAGAATCGGTATACTCGCCAGTAAGTATACGTGATCATATTAGGGGTTGAACTTAGGACCTTCAGACAGGGAGCGACTAACCTTCAGTTAGGTAAGTTGGAGTTTAACCGTTTATGTTTCTAATTTTAGTCGATTCGTCCGGTGAAGAAAATACAGACAATGTCAAGAAGAAAATACAATGAACATTTACACAATATATGGAACTAACCTTCAGCAATTCTGTATTTCACTGGAAGATCGACTGGCGTTGCAACTACAGACTTCGTCAAAACAATGACATTTTCAAACCCAATTAGAACGACTAAATAAGGGAAAACTTCGCTAAAGAATATATAAAGAAAACAAGGAATATAATTATACATAAAATCAATAAACTATGATTTATCACACAGAAACGGAGACTTCCTATTTTTGCCATAATAGTCATATAGTGGTGTGTGCTACTTATGTTGACAGATATAAGTAGTATGTAGTACTAATCGGAAGTTGAACGAATACTAACAGAAGATTGAAAAGATTCAATTGAAGAGGACAGAAAAGGAAACAGAAAGTAATCGTAATAACAACAGAATTGAAAAAATCATGAAGCATGTAAAGGAAAACTGAAGGAAGATGTGCAAATCATGTATTTAATGTGTGGTTCTCATATTTTCATACAGCACTGTAATTTTCCATCAAGCAATAGATTGGTTATCCCCACCAAGACTTCTTTCACTACAATAGTAATGATTTAATTAAATGATAGAAATAGCTTATACAAAACTGACTGAACTAATTTAAAATGACGGGAAATTTCCAACATTAGAAACTATTTAAAATTACTTAAATTGAAAATGACTTGAACAGAAGCTTGCTGTATAAATCAAGCCTTAAATGAAACGTTATTGGAAACAAGCATACCACAACATATTTATGTAAAGGAACAAAAAACAAAAGATCATTAATTGTGTAAAGCGTGAACAACTCTCAGAACTAGCTAGTGAGAGGGAGGAGGGAAAAACAAACAGAGGATTTTCATTTTTATATTGGTTGTTCGAATCTTCCCATTGACGTTTAGGACTGAAATTTGTCAGTTTCTTATTGTCATGCATGCATAATGTTAAGATTGCCTCGATATGTCATTAAGTCGCAAGTACTATAAGCAGAGATGAATGGTGACTAGTGGTGAAATTCAGAACGTAAGTTTCGTCCTATTTGAGTTCATCTCTTCTTATAACGATTGTAATTTAAGGCAATATCGAGGCAATCCGCACGGGTTACATATATGTTAATAAGAGACTGATCAATTGTAGTCTTAAACGTCAACTGGAAGGTTCAAGCAACTAATAAAGAATGAATTAAACTTCACTGCATTGCACAAGCTAGTGGCTATCCAGACTCAGTCGCCAAGTGGATAACGCGATGGCGTTTGGAGTGAACGGTATCGGGTTCGAGTCCCGGAGTGGACACCAACATTGGGATACAGGTACATCCAATAGACGAGCCCAAATAGGACGAAACGCACGTCCTGAATTCCATTACTAGCTACTATCCATCTCTTCTTATAGAGAGGGTTTGTAAACTCAAACCAGAGATTATCAGTACATTGTTCGAAAACAACTTCGTTTACATACGAACACCCTAGTACTAAGTTTTTATTTGGAAAACAACATGCCCTTGATATATTTCAAATATATTTAAGCGTACAGTCCAATTTCAAAGTGTATCTTTTTACAAACGATCTTGATAGTGTTAGGATGTGATAGTTTGCACATTACTGTATACATTGAGGTTATAATTCATATGATGATGTCGGTCTTTTTCTAACTTCTGACCAAAAGAAAATTAACGGAATTTTTAATGTCAAAGTATAGTTTAGAAAGGTTAATAATCGATATGAAAGAACGATTTATATATATCTAGTACTAATTTCATCAACCCTGTAGTAGATGGCGGAAAAATAGATTGATCTTATGATTAGCAATACAGTGAGACGGTCAAACAGAAATATATCGTTCTTATTGAGTAATATCTTGTTACGATATAACTAGGTACTTGGATTAATTCCACGCCTTTATGTGAAGGCTAGTGATACTAGCTGATCGTGGGATAGATTTGAGAAGAGTGTAACTCAGTGGTTGAAGGACAAATGGCTTAACTATTAAACAACTATTCTATAATATAACAACAGAGAATAGTAATAACGACTAAACAGATAAATATGTGTTTGGAAAATACTGATTATGATTCATAAACATAACTAAACCGAAAATAGCTTTGACAGGTTAAATATTTAGCTAAAAACAATATAGTACAATCAAAAGAGTTGTTTAAAAAAATTGTTAATCATTAGGGGTTACAAATAGGAAATAATTAACTAAAGATGAATAGTTTAATCATTAAATAACAAATAAGGTTGTGATTTTGATTCTCGTTTCAATACGGAGGTATTTCGTCCTCGTACTCATCGTAAACAATATTTATTAGGATTTGAAGATGAAAGACGTCAGTAAAGTATACAATTAACTGCGTGTGTATCGTCTAATAAAGACAAAATTCAATATAAGATCAATTAACATACTTAACAGTTATTTATCAGATCTGTTTGTTTCAAGTATAAAATGTCGAGACTTTTATTCAAGCAAATATTTTTTAAAACACTGGTTTATTTTCATGAAATAATTGTTTGAGAACATTCTCTAAAATCAAAACTTAATTTCAAATGTTACGACGCATTGTAGTATCGCAGCCCACACACAAATCAAGTGACCTATGTGGTGCATATGCATTTGGTGCCCCTTTGTACCAATATTTATGTGTCCAAATAATTATTATTATAGTTCAATTATGTTAGATATCAATATTTTAAGCAATGCTGTTACACACAGGATTGTACCATGACTATGAAATTGAAAATCTTACTTTTTTGTATGCAATTTCACCGTACCCCATATATTAGCATTAACAGTAAAACAGGATTATCCCGAAGTATAGAAATCAACATAACAAATTGAATAATTGGAAATTAGAAATTATACATTTCCATGTTTACAAGTAAATTAAAACAATAACAGTTGAATCCAGTTTAATCGACATTTTTTGATATTCTAAACTTACTTCAGTGGTTTGTTTAAAACATGCAAAAGTTTAAATAAACTAAAATATATCATACCTTCCGTTAAGTGTTGGCATAACAAGACCGATTGTTACACACAGACCAATAGACATAAATAGTGACGCAGCGACAGTAACACAAGCGCTTAAAGCTAAACCCCATTTCGATTTGACCATTTCCAATTTACCTAGAAGTTATTTTTATCAAAAACAATAATGATCAAAACAATGTAATTTAGAAACGTAAAATATGATGAACGAATTACTCAAGCAAAAGTCTGATAGAGCAATTAAACCTATTCTCATTTTGACCACCTGTTAATAGTATGCAGAGCATTTTATGCTTAAAATTGGACGAAAAAACATAATGGTAGACGGATACGACTTCAATGGATATAATCTTCAAAATAATTCAAGTTTTAACAACTTGTTAAGTCTCTTTATTCGGCCTGGGGTACTCCCGTTCCACTGTATAGTAATCTCGAACACCACTTTATTTGAATACTTCCCAAATTACAACACGACTTGGACAGAACATAAATATATTCTAAAGCAAAATAACAAAAAGCAACAAAGCTTTAGTATATATCCGGAACCTTACACAGGAGTACTCTGGTCTTTCTAGTCCATCCGCTAGCGCTGATTGGTCGGAAATGAACCAATTAGCGGTCTCCAACGTTATTTTGTCTGAAATATCCTTTGGTGAAATCTGTCCTGCCAACACACCCTAATAAACATTAAGTTCATTCTATTACACTTGCCAGTAAACTGCAATAAAGGAAAAACACATACATCATTTACCACAATCAAGAGGGTTTATTAGGACCCTACAGCAGAGAGAGAGCTCGTGATTATTATTTAACGATGAAATATCACAATACACCATAAAGGTTTAGAGAACGTGACTAATCATGAAAAGGAAAATTTGGAAGTGTTTTACAGCTTAAAAAAGAAACTTTGTCCAGAAAATCATCTGGTTATGAGAATATCAAGCTGTCATAAGGAGTTTAGTGGGGATGTTATCCACTAATGCCTATCCTATTCAACATTGTTATGAAAAAGAAGAGTATTTAAACTTCAGATAGTATGAAACTAAGTAGAACAGGATGGTATTTATTACGATGAACACTTATCAGACAAAAGATAAGAACCCTAAACAGTCCCCGTCTATTGTTTCACAAAATAAGAAATCTTACTTTGAAGTGGTGAGTTTCTACAAACCGAGGGCAGAAAAGTGAATTGTTACTGAGATAACTCTATGAATCATATTTTGGTGTGTGCTACTGATGTCGACAGATATAAGTAGTATGCATTATCTATCGAAAGTGAAATACCTGAAGACAGAAGGTTAAGAAAATCGAAAAAAAGAGAACGAGAACAAAGAATGACTGATGTGGAAACTAAAGAACAATAAAGTCTGAGATGATCGATTGATATTTTTCAAATCAAGTATTTACTGTATGGTTCTCAGATTTTACTAAGATGCTCTGTAATTATGTGTTGAAATACATTCGATTGTCACCCACTTGTGTTCTCAAATCACTAGAATATTAGTTAGTTAATGATTCAACCAAAATACTACATTCAATTTTTGATGACAAATCATAAGAAATGTATAAAACAACTTACGAACGGAAAAATACACATAGAGCAATAGAATGACGTAGATAAAAAGTAATGGTGCATAGTCAGCAAAGTATGAACGATCACTATACCAAACGAGGAAGATATGTCCAACTGAAGCTGTGTTTGACGTATCATTTAATTTTCGAGTGTCTATACTAATATTTGCATCTTTATGAAGGTTTTCCATACTATCAATCAATAGTCTCGCAGTTCAGAAAAAAAGCTTGAAGCAAAACAAATAAGTAGATATTAACTTGAATTTAAAGGAAATATGTCATATAGTGAATATATCAAACGAAAAAACATTTCTAACAATGCGTAGAGATTATAAAAATACATAGAGGTATCAACTAAGGAATACAGATCAAATCTAACGTCGAAAGATTAAAACAAAAACAGCCGTATAGCATGTTAGAGCTTACTTTGCCGAAATTGTTCATTCACCATCTTTCATGAATCTCAATATGACTCCATACTTCACATGTCTCAAGTTTATTTGTTTCATTTTAAGATGTTTATTTAGTAACTAACTCCTGTACTGATATGTCTGTATATTGTGACAGCTTGAAACAACACATACTCAGGTTAAATTTAGATATAACTTTTATAACTAACTAACTGACTGACACTAGATTTTTTTATCTTTTTAATATAAGACTAAGTAGTAGATAGAGGATAAAAAAGTTATTTACTGATAAACTGTTAAATTATTATTGGGGCACAAAACATGGCAAAAGGTTATTCACAAACAAAAAACCGTATATTCAAAACAAGGGTTGAATTCCAAGAAGTTTGAGAGCAGAAAAACTGTATTACTACAATCGATATAATAAAGACACTAAGTCTAAATGGTGTGGAAATACAAGAATGTTTAGGTTAAGTTGGAAACAAAAAGTAATCAGTGATATGGGCGGGAAGTTGGACAAACTAGTTTTGATTGACAAGATTCGATTAGCAGTCAGTACTAGATACAAACTAATGTTATTTCGTAATAAGCGCATGGGTTATTTCAGCGTTCGACAATGCATTTTCAGCATCTCAAGCTTCTGAAACTATTTCAAGGACGACTGTAGTCTGTTATAAGTTTTCCCTACTCAACACTCAGATAGTGAGAAGTATCCAAGTAGGACTGAAATTTTATGCGAATGACAAATATCATAGAAATTGAGCATATAAAAAATAAAGCGGTTACTTATAATATGTACAGATGAAATGGATTTGAGTCATGCATATTTATGTTAGATCAGTGCTTATACGAAGCTGACTAGTTGATGTATGTGCAGTTAAATTTTAAAATAGAGAATGATGCTTGAAGCTATACTACATTAACTACATTAACTTTAGTGACTATTCACTTTGATAGGCTTTTTCTGATTGGAAGTCTCACTAAGAAAATAACGTGTTTAGATATAAATGAAATGTTATAAGGACAAAAATACTGTTTTTAAAAAGGATTTACAGGGTAACAAACTTTGTGTACTATTTGAAAATGCTAAACAGAACAATACTTACCAAGGTTTGTATTCCCGAAATACTAAAGTTAGCGCATATGTAACTGTCCGTTCTCGACTACACCTAGACAATTTTGACAATCCGGTTGTCTTCCAAGGTAATCCAAATAAAAGATCTAGTAGATTCCCTGAAGCTGCAAGTTTTATGCGCGAAAGGACCGAGGGTTGATGGGACTGAATTACACCGAGACGGTCAACCAATAAGAAACTAGGAGCTAACATGAGACACCCGAATGTAGGTAATACATTTTTTATTGTTTCGGAATTCTCTGCTTCATTAACTGCTCTATCCTCAACCTTAAAGAAAAACAATGGAATAAGGGAACAGAAAGACAACCGTAATAGAATACACCACAAACAGATAACAAAAATTATTATTTGTGAGTAGTATTTTGTATATTGTTTTGAACATACGATCAACTAAATTTGAAGAAGTGAGTGAATGACAATTACTAACATAATTCAAAGTATGGGCGTAAACAGATGTCTGAAATGATATACCCATATACGCATCTGGATCTGAAGTCAAGCAGGTACATCAAACAATAAAAGAATCAGGGAACTCTAACAGATTTGATACCCGGCTAAATAATGCATAACACTTGAGAATTCAAAGATACCTTAAGAGCCAGATCCTGTAGATGAAAAGTAAATTAATTGACGATCAACAAATCGAAAAATATCACAGCCAACGGTAACACAAGTTTTGCTTTTGATAGATTAAGCAAGCCTGGAAATACTACGTGATATTACAAAGACTAGGCAGTTCGCACTATGTCCCAAGATCGAACGCAAGGGGAAAAATTTAAAAAAGGCTAGTTATGGGGAAGCCGATTATCTCCTAGCCAAGGGTCTCAGTCTACAAGTTTTTATTCAGAACGAGGGTGATAAGTGTATAAATACATGTGGTTTACAGATCATGATTGAAATTTGAACATTTCAACTTTCTTATCAATTTCGGTATTCTCATTTGTATTGTTATGGTCATTCGTAAAAAGTGTATATCGTAACTGAGTCGGACCACAGAACATAACAACCTTACGACTGTAAAAATAAACTTTGTAAATGGAGCTTCAAATCTGGAAAATGTTTTCGTCATTGATAGTAGGGAATAGTATAGATGAAAAATAATTTTAAATGAAGTAACATAAACAAACTGACGGCCAAAAGAGTTTATCAGACAGAAAAAAAAACATCTAAATAGGCCATATAATAACTGTTTACTGATCCTATAACATAAGAAAGTTAAAACTAGTTTGAAAGACTGATAAGTGTAGCGGTATAGGTCACCGAACAAATCACCTTTATTAAAAAGTTGGTCTACATCAACGAAGCTAGTTAAAACAAAAATGTTTAGGGATTTACTAGACATGGGTACCAGTAAAGTTACCTAAGTTAACACTGATCATATTTGAACGAAGCTATGAACAGCCCGCCTTATTACAATGATAAGGTAGACATTTCAGTATTGTGGGATATACCTGAAAGCAGATGTCATCAAAAGTTTGTCCTCCTGGTGTATTCCCATCTCCAGAACTTTTGAACTGGTGAACAAGCTCGACTATTTCATTGCTCTGCTGAAGTAAGTGGACAATAGTTTCATGGTTGATATGACACTTCGGAGCCCTTGTAATTATTTTTGAATGAATGACTATTTGAAGCATATAACCAAGACTTTTGTTCTCGTCATCATGGGTCTGTTTTTTACAGGGAAACATAAAAATAAACACTACAATAAACTTGATGTAATGTGTTCAAAAAGCACGGAAAGGATATTTTACATAAAGAATATAATTAAAGTCTGAATCGCAGGAATATATGTTGTAACTCCGACAAGTAAAAAGAGTAGTTAAAAACAGGTAATTAACTCAGAACGACTCATCAGGCCAGTCACTCACTCAGTTCGTATTGAATAAACATAAGGTTTTACGTTACGTATGACTAAATGATCGAAACGCGGGGTAAATTTGGATAAATACGTTGGTTTAATAATAATCATACATACAGTCGACGAACAAACAGGGTTTTAACACACGAGTGATAAACCAAGAGAGATCTAAACAGCAAGATGAAAACCTTAACCAGTTCGCGTGCAAACGATGTTAACTAAAAAACCATGTGCCTATTAGTGGTGTATGTTTTATTGACATGCAAATCAATGTTAATGGAGTCTAGAATGAGAATTAAAACAAACATATAACGTTTTGATTTTTTAATTCGAACTGAGGGGAAAATAACATGTCAACTTAAGACTTTCGGAGAAACGTGGGAAAACCTCGGGAAAACAAGGAAAATAGATTTTCCTAAAGACACAGAAAAATCTCTTGCCCATTCATAAAGACAAGATAGATGACAGTTGACATATTTCTAGAGACTGTAATAATGAAAGTCACTAAAAGATATAACACATAGATCACAAACACATTTGAGAACAGCTGAGGTAAGTGAAAATCATGATGTTCCGTACTTAAGGTTTATCTAGGAACAAAAGGAACGTCTTAGGACCTCATGATTTGTAATTTGCCTACAAACACCAAGTTATCCTAAATTCCAGACAGTTTCGTACATACAAGCTAACAACTACGAGGACAAAAGGGAGAATTTTGGGTAGAACAAAACTTTGAGACAGTCTTAAAACCGTATTCTCAGTCAACTACTGTTGTTTGATATCACGTCATTTCAATATGACTGCGGTCTTAAGTGGCTGGTGAAAATCGACGATCTGGAAATGGCTCTACATGCTACACTAGTTGATGTTTTTGTCCCGAAAAAATAGAAAAAAACCGAAAAAAGGTAAACCCTAATTTAACTGTCTGAACACTAGAAAGACAACATCCTGACTTACGAAAACATAACGTGAATCTTTGAACGACTGAAATTCATCGTCACGAACAACTGCACGATGAATTGGCACTTCTTTCACAAGTGGGAGATGGGTCAAAGGATAGCTAAGCTTATTAAACAAAGCCAAACATACCAAAGAAATATCATAAGGATGCAAACAGTGGTGATAACAGGTGCTGGGTGAGAAGAAATGAATAGCCCATGGTTGTAATACACTCGGGAAATTTTAAGTTTAATTCTCTCCATAAGCACATCTGAAGGCAGAAATTGGGAGAAGAGCGACATAAATTAACTCAGGAATCAAGTCTGCTGATGGATTTACGTGCAACAATTTGACTGTACAGGTGAAATAAAACACCAAGAAGTATAGTAGACGAAGAGAATGTGCCCAACCAGTCACGAAGTCTATAAAAAAATAAATTCGCACAGCTTGTAAGATGGCACTAAATATGAACGCATCAATTGAAGGACAAAATAGTGTATATACTTTGCTAAACAACTTGCGACATTTTCGACAAGTGCGCCTTTTCTCTAGGTCACATAGAAGACGCATAAAACATTGCATTACCCTCAATAACATTACATTTGAGGAGACTCTGTGAAGCAATCAAAAGTTGGAATATTTGTCTGTGAAGTTCAACCTTTATTAGGGTGGCGTCTAAGCTGAAGTTACCCTGTGTGCTGGGGGAGTAATAATAGCAGTAATTTCGATTATCTGGAGGAGAAAAGAACAGGAGGAAAAGTGGACCGGCAACTCGATAAGCACTTAGATAATACTCATATTTAACAGGGAAAGCAATTTATAAGAATCAGAAGTGACAAGTGATTAGTATTAAGGTACTCTGGTATTCGAAATAAGTTGATAGTGTAAGGTTTCGAACGCGTTACTTGTTTCACGCCCAAATTTGGCAGAGAAAGAAAGTAATAATTTTCGAGCTTTTAGAATAAGTTGCGATATGAGATGATCACACTTTTTTCAATAAGATATTGTGAAAACATTTCAGCGTTTTAATTTTTCATCTTACAAGAATTTAGTAAGACGTGTAATCAACCTAATACCCACACATTGAATATGCTTGATGTTGTCAGCTTCAATAAGAAACTGGCTTGCCGCTTGCTCAATGTATCTTGTATAATTTTTGAAGTGGATTGGATACAAAGCCTGAAATCTAATTTTGCCAAAGTATTTGAAGTATTTGTCAATTGACGATAACAGTGAAAAGTTGACAGTACTTACAGTAGTTTAATTAGTAATTGTTTTTGTGTTACGACTTGAGATTGCTGCCATTGCCTCTTTGTTCATGAACTTGCTGGAATGGTGTTTCGTTGATGATCTACCGGTGAACATTACCTACTACGTTATGCATTAGCAAATTTTACTACAATTATTCTTCGAAACCGAATTTAGAGACTATTTGACTGGGTTATCTAAATCAATTTCGCTGAATCAAATCTAGACAGTCTCCCATTCTCTCTCGCTCTGACATCACTTACTTAAAAGTCTTCAAGTTTGTCACTCATTTGACCTATTATCTCGGATTCAGAGGTCTATTAATTAGTCAAGAGTGAAACATGATACTGAACGCCATGTTGAAGTATTTAGCCGACAAGTGAACTATTACTTTAGGCTGCTTTCCAGTCTTCCTTTACAATGAGTAGCCTGATATCAAGTGAAATTTAAGCAGCTGGATCATTTCTCTAGAAAGAAGGACGTGGAGAAGCGTGTAACTGTCAAACGCACTACTTCAGTTACATTATTTAAACCGTCCCTAGTCGTGTGATTATTCGAGTCCCGTATGTGTAAAGTAATGTAATATGCACTTAACCAGATGTCTTTCTATATATCTGTCCGTTTGTTAACTACGGTTCGCCATTATATTGATCTATAAATATTTGAGGCATTGACTAAATGATGCTCCAGAGGGTTTGGATTAATTTCAATTTAGTGCATGTTGAGCCAGTTAAATACAATTTGGAGTTTTGTTAAACAGTTGCTGGATATTCTAGTACTATTACATTAATCCAGTAACGTCTACTATAAGCCATAATGGCTTCTCAATTTAGTGGCCTGATATCTGACTTTAATTAGGACAACCGAATGAATATGCCAAGAACATTTGCCTTTGTATATAACACATACGTTAACCAGATTTTAGCAAAGGTAATAATATGAATATAAATACGGATTGAGCAGGTTGAATTAACTTCAGACAAAGAGAAGAATAATAAGGTGAAGATCGGAACTTTAAAAGAAGACGAGTGTCTCAAAAAATAAATGATTAAATAAGTTAATCGATTCATATTGCAGATAATATAAGAAAACCGAAGTGTAAGAATAAAAGGAAAGGCTCAGATAACTATAGGCGAAATAGGAAGTAGTTACTATCACATGATAATGATAACAGTAGGTAAGTTACGAGAATGATTGTGCTCGTATTTATCAAATCTCCTATAAAGTCTTTCTGCTGAGAGGGATGTAGTCAGTTAGACTGGAAGGCCTTCCAGGTGTGCACTCTTGATGGGAGAAAACTGTATCGTGCCTCGGTTTTCGCTCTTTATCTGCCTAGGGTTGTCTCAACGAGTATGATAGAGACATTTTGGTAGAATGTTCGTGTTGGTGTGACTTCAGGTACGTCATATGTCGCCTGCCAATATCAGATCACTCCCCATCCTCCTGCAGCTCAGAATAATCCCACGAGTTGGGACCCGTCTTCTTACGGTTTATTCTGCAGTCCTATCAACAACTTAGTTGCACATCTCTGTGCACGATCTAAGAGATCTATATTCTTTGAAGAGACTGATGCGGCAACATTGTGAACTTCCATACGCGGTCGTGCGTAAGTTTTAGACAGAGTTGTGAACAACTCTGGGGTGATGGCATAAAGGTGTTTTCGCATAAAATGAAGAGATGCTTTTGCCTAGGCTATATCCCCTATGAAGATGACACGGGTATTCAGTGTTTGACAACTCTTTAGCCAGTAACACCTAATATAACTCGTACCCACCAAGAGAAATCAAAAGACAGGATCGAGAAGATTGGAGGATATATTTGATGTGATATCAACATATCGAGAATCGTCTGATCTAATCTGGCTAGCGATTGCAGTAGATGTTGAGCACGGCGTTCCCACTCGTGATCTGGTGCGGATGCATGACCGAACGCCTTCAGCTAGGTCAGCATCCAATGTCGAAAACTTACAGGATTTATTTACCGCTACAGGTCGCTCCCCCCCTAGTGGGGCAGTGATGACCCTAATACGTGACCAGCCAGAAGTTTAAACCCAACGAGTTTTGTCGTTGTTAGCTTGCTAGGTTTAGCAGCATCTGGTCGTCTTTCTTTACTGTAAGGGATCATGAAATACAATATAGTAAGAAAATAATGTAAAATCAAAATTTGGGTTCCTCGTAAACCTCATCGTTCTTTTTATCGTCTTTAACGGTCGCCCTGGAAAAGAAAACAAGAATAAGTAAGTGCATGTCGAAATAAACTCGTACGCGCTTTAAGACACAAAATGGGCGAAAAAGCATAAATAACGTAAAAGCGATTTTTACAAAATGTTGTTTTTTGTTTTTTTCTTAAAAAAATTTCTTATTATACGTATTAGCCAAATAATGAATATATATAAATATAAGCATATTAAAAACTGATTTTTTAATACTATATTATACCATGGAAAATTGAGATAAAACAAAATGTTAACTAGTGTCTTACGTGCAATAGTTGTTTAGATGTTCTGGAAATCTTACTCTGCTTCCAGAACGCGTTGTTTTAAGTTTGTTTTCAGATACTGCCGAAGTATCATAGTGTGTGTTGGTTGTCGGATGAGGTATTATAAGTGTCAGAGTCGTGTCGTTCGATTGTACCGAAGGAAAATCGACGAGATAGGATTTCCTTCTAAATACGCTGCTTTTAAGCGATCGATGCTGATGCTATCGTTGGTTCCGTTCTTATCGACTATATAGTACTTAGATTCACGTTGAAGAACTTTGAAAGGTCCTTCGTATGCTGATTCGAATGGTCGTCGATGCGAGTCTCGACGAACGAAAACGTGTGTACTATATCGTAAGTCAGGTTGAACGAAAACATCAGTTGATTGAGGTCGAGTGGAAGCAGGTTTAACTGAACGCATTGCGTTTGTAAGCCTGTTCGTGTAGGAGGTTAGATCCATGTTCATCGAAGAGCACGAAGGATCCACGAATTCTCCTGGAAGTCGAAGTGTCGTTCCATAAACGAGTTGAGCCGCAGTGTATCCAATGTCAGCTTTCACTGCATTGCGGATACCTAGTAAGACGAGTGGAAGAGCGTCGGTCCACTGTGAAACGTTTGCAGCTGATAGTGAAGCTTTCAGTTGTCGGTGAAAACGTTCTACCAACCCGTTTGCTTGTGGGTGGTAGGCGGTCGTTCGGAAGCGAGTGATTCCTAAAAGTGTGGTCAGACGACGGAAAAGATCAGATTCAAACTGACGTCCGCGGTCTGTAGTGATGGTTGAAGGGCAGCCGAAGTTTGCTACCCATCGTTCGACGAAGGTGCGGGCCACTGTTTCAGCAGTGATGTCCTTGATAGGTACTGCTTCTGGCCATCGAGTGAAACGGTCTACGCAGGTTAAGAGATAAGAGTATCCATTTGAATCTGGTAAAGGTCCTACCAAATCCAGATGAACATGGTCGAAACGAGCATCGGGAGTTTTAAACGAGCCTAAGGGACATTTATTGTGTCTGATAACCTTAGATTTTTGGCAGCTTACACAGGAGCGTGCCCACTCCCTCACGTCTTTATTCATGCCAGGCCAGCAAAATCGTTCTGCTATAAGCTTGATGGTTGCACGAACACCTGGATGAGAAAGTTTGTGCAATGTATTGAAGACATTGCGTCGATAATGTTTCGGCACGATTGGGCGATCCCTACCTGTAGATGTGTCACAAAGTAAGGTTTCCTTACCTGTTCCCATCTGTTTGATGCGTAGTTTAAGTGTTGTGGACGATAACTCGTGCTGAAGATCAGTGTCTTCTTTTTGAAGCTCGGCGAGTTTAAGAAGGTCGATTCCTTGGAAACTGTTCAAGGAAGTTATGCGAGATAAGGCGTCTGCAACTACATTGTTTGCTCCAGAGATGTGTTGAATATCTGAAGTAAACTGCGAAATGTAGTCCAGTTGTCGAGACTCACGGGGAGAGTACTTGTCAGAAGGAGAGCTTAACGAGAAAGTGAGCGGTTTATGGTCCGTGAAAAGAGTGAATTCACGGCCTTCGATGGAAATGCCGTACAGCACAATACATAGCTAGGAGTT